CTTGCAAGATTTCTTGAGAGGAATTCACATTCCCAATAAGAGACAAAGCTTTAATTATGGACAGCAAAAGAATATCTGCTAAGAAGGCACTGCAACCAACCAATCAATCCAATTGATTGCATGTAGTAACCTCTAATTGTTCTATATTTTTTTTTTTTTGAATGTATAAATTAATTATTGAATCATTCTAAAAACGAAACTAACAATAAGTGGATCAAATCATAAAACTAAATTTATTGTTTTTCCCTCAGCCATTGCTTTGGAAAAAACTATTGAGACATTAAATTATTTATAATAAGATAAAATTGAAAATTAAAATTAAAATTGAAATTAGAATTAAAATTAAAAACTAAATTTAATTTAAAGGTAAAATCAATTAAAGAAATCACATTCAATAAATAATAAGATTTCATTATTCCAAACGCACCTCATTGACTGTAAAATTTCAATCGACAGTATTTGACTTAGAAAAAGAACTCCACCAGTCTATGTTATAAAGTCACAATAGTCTGATGGTATTTGAATTTGTGGTTCACAAAGTAGCAGTGTCATTTGTAAAATCAACACAGTACAAATATTTATATTCAAATGTAAATACAAATTAGCTACCAATTATTGTAATCTTTAAGACTGGAATAGTTTTGTCAATGTTTAAACCAAATCTCTAAAACAACATTCCACTTTAAACTTTTTGAAGATCAATTAGAACCGATGATATGATAACAAACTCAACATTTTGCAAAGAACTCTAAATTATTCTCAAACAAAAGGGATAGTGTAAAAGTTTGGAACCAACACATAATATCGTCAGCTTCTACTGAAATGATTCTTAGATAAAAATGTATGCAGCTCTATATTCGTTGCTTGCCAATAAATGGTATATACTATAGTAATATTATATATGTAGTATAATACAAGTATAACTAATAATAATAGCTTATGTACCAGCTGTGTTCGTCTGAGTATAGGCTGCTGTATCCCTAACTAAATATTAGGCAGTCATACTAGTTACCAGATCACTGCAGCATATCCTAAACAGAAGCATTCATCGCTCTAATGCTCAGTTATAGTCTTACAATTGAGATAACTGAGTCATATATATAATCATCACAACTTAGAATACAAGATGACAACGAATCACAATTGGTAAATATAATAGTTTGCCGGTCATAAATTTATGACACCACTATGACAATGTTCTGATTATTCCAATAATATTAATCGCAATTATCGAAGTATTTAAATTGGACTTCTATATTCAATCTAAAAAGTAATCTAAATTTTAAAAATCCAAATCAGTTATCAAACTTTTTTATGATCTTTTGTTCATCTTAATTAGCAAAACTCTCCATTCAGTCCAAAAAATACTGCAAATGCTACTGAAATACTGAAGCTATCCACCGAATTTTGAGTTCGTCATTGAAAGTTTAATTTGGAAAATTTTCGCTAAACTCGACGTGCCAAAAAGTTATCCTTTTCAGTTTTATGAAATAATAAAAATTGTTCAAAGTCTCAAGCACACTTTTGGTTACTTTCGACTTTTTTTCCTATTCCAATAGCAAAGAGTGTCCAAAACACCAATCAAATCCCGGCAATGACGCAACTTAAATTGCTTTTGTCCTTTTTAATTAATTAAATAAAAGAAGGAGAACATTAATTTGATTTTTTCCGGACTTCGTTGACAAATTTTCCCAACTTATTTGCGATATTTATGTGAGCTGAGATACAAATTTACATTTTGAAATACTTGCACTATTTCCAGCAACTCAACCGACAAAAACAAGTGGTAACATAATGTGGAAGGCAAAAAGCATAATGTATTTGTGTGGGCGTAGGGTGTGAACTACGCGGGTGAGCGGGGGCTGGCGGGAATACGGGTATGCAAGGAGGCTTTAGTAAAATGTTAAAATTTTAAAATTGTTGTCATTCTTAATTTCAGTGCGCATTGACATTGAATAATCTCTGCTCTAAATTGTGAAATCCAATTTTTGTGCAGGACTTGTTAAGTGTCAAAACGTCCGAGCTTAGATAGAGTTAAGCATGTGGCGCGGGGGGAACTTTTAACTTATGCAGCAACTTTCGCAATTTTAAATGACTTTTTTTGTTTCGTATAATAACATTAAAAAATCACAGAAACTAAATAATATAAGCTTAAAAGCAGGTCAAGTTATACACTTGAAAAAATTTCACAAAAAAAAGAAGAAAACAGAAAATGAGTTAAAATATTTTATGTTAAAAATATTGAATAAAGAATTATTCAGGCAAATTGAAAAAATTAAATTACATAAAAACCAAATTTTTTTATATTATTTCTTTCAATAGGCTTATTATCAACTTTGAAAATATTTAATAAAAAATTATTTAATTCCATTATTTAAGTATATTTTACTTAAAAACTGCTTTATGTTTTTCCATTTATTTAGTAAATAATGAATATAATTTAATTTTAATTGAAAACTTTAAAATATTTTAAATAATTTTCCAGCTTTCGATGTTTGTTTTCAACTTAATTAATTCGTTAACATTTTCTTATAAATTTTAATGAATTATTTTTAGTATCTTCTATGCGATATGTTAAGATTGCAACACAACAGCAACAACACAACAACAACAACAGCATCAACCACGTCAAGTTAAGTCAAACTTAACTTGTGAAATATTTTTGGAACTGCATCCAAACACTGTCAACTTTTCCAGAAGTGAAATTGAGAAACTTGAACTTTCGAATTATGTCACCCTTGAGCGTTTACTGGTGTAATGCCTGCAAAAGTTTTAAGTGCTTCAGGCAACATAAATTCAAGTAATTTATTTTCATCATCAAAAGAAAAGTTAGCACAATGTACGCCTATAATTAACACATAAAAAATTAAGTTAAAAATTTTAATGAATACCAGCAAAACTTTTTTTTTACTAAGATTCAAGGCTAAATTTATAGTGCAGTTGAACTTTTCTATTCACAAGTATACTTCTTAACATGAATATGTGTCCTTATTGTCCTTACGTTCATTGCACTATAATACAGGCGTTAGATGCACATTATCACACCTGTTTTAAGTATTTAAATAGATACTTTTTATTACTGAGACAAAAATTTTATATAAATTTTAACATCATTAACTAAAGTGAATCAGAACTGAATATAGTCAATAAAACTGAATATATAGTTAATAAACAGAACTGAATATTCAGAATATAGAGTTACTGCTATTTATGAATATATCAGAACTGAATATAGTCTCATCACTGAATAGAGCTACTTCTCTTTATGGATATATCAAACTGAATATAATCTCATCACTGAGTAGAGCTACTTCTCTTTATGGATATATCAGAACTGAATATAATCTCATTACTGAGTAGAGTTACTTCTATTTATGGATATATCAGAACTGAATATAGTCTCATTACTGAGTAGAGTTACTTCTCTTTATGGATATATCAGAACTGTATATAGTCTCATTACTGAGGAGAATTACTTCTTTTTATGGATATATAAGAACTGAATATAGTCTCATTATTGAGTAGAGTTACTTTTCTTCATGGATATATCAGAACTGAATATAGTTTCATTACTGAAGAGAGTTACTTCTCTTTATGGATATAACATTCACACAAACAGTTAATTCAGAAATTAATAGTTAGATTTCAATAACTCAGTTGCAATAGATAGTTTATTATTATATACCACTTTCTTAAATGAATTTCGTACATATAAACAAACTTCCAGAGTACATAAGACAACAACGGTTTTGTTGAAAATTAGTTTTTTGTTGTGCACCGTAACTCAAATGTAACATATAACATATTCAGTGAATAAAAAAAAACAGTAAAGAGAATAAGAATTATATATTTCTATAGTAAACTTCTACGAAATTGTTTTCAATATTAGAAATGGAATATATTTGATAATTTTGAGAATTTAGAACTGCAATGCAAAAAAACTCCACGTGAGGAAGAGAACGGTGTTTCTAACATAGACCCTAAAATAATTTTGACCATCTGTTTAGGTGGCTTTTTCATTATAAATCCTCGGTACTTTAGTGTTGGAATGTATTTAAATAGATTCTTTAGAAGGTAGTGTGCTCACAATCCACAGATTTTCTGCACTTATATAATATGTTTATCACCAAAAGTGATTTACTAACGAAAGACCTCTCTAAAATTGGATTAATAAATATTTGTAAGGTGGTAATAAATATTACATTTCTTAATAATTTAAAGAATATTAAATAAATTACTTTTTAATTGATCTATTTTATAAGAGGCAAAAAATTATCTTTAAGACAACACCTAAACTTAATAAAATTATTAATGCAAAAAAAAATGTTGTCTAAAAGCATTGTTAAAAAATTTATCTTCATAAATATCTCAAATTTACTATCTTACACAGCATATTATATTAATTTTATAACTACTCTTAATCGGCTCTACATACAGATTAATTCGTGTCGTAAAATAAGGCACTTGTATTCGGTTCCTGGTACTTGAAGTCTCAAAAAATTATTTATGAATAATAAAATACAAGAATTATTTTCAAGACCACTGACGATGAGTATTTGGCAATACTCGAAACATTCAATTAATTAAAATAATATAAAAAAGAATTTTTGTTCTTATAGTTCACTACTGTTCGAAAAACCTCTTTAAAAAACAACTATTAAATATACTCGACTTTTCTATATCATATAACAGATTACTGCACTTTTTTTTTCTTATAGTATCAATGAACACTTTTGTTTATAATACTTTAAAGTCCTGTGAAACTTTAGGGTACTAAAAGTATCCTTTTAGTGTAATATAATGAAATCAAATTTCTGATTGATTGCATTTTGGCTATAAACTTAAGAATTGCTGCAGTCTCATTAGTTGAGCTATCAAATGTGTATAACAATATTTTTTTATAAGTATACATTATAATAATTAGTTAGTTCATTTTGTTTGTTTTCCTTTAGTATATATTGTGTACTATCATTATTAAAATAGTTTTAATCTATTTGCAGTTGTCAATCAGAAGTACACGGTACAAGTACATGACGAATACGTAATGACAGGCAACACAGCTGTACTAAAATGTCAAGTAAGTAAAAATCCTTACTCTTCAATTATTTGTTTTACACTTTTTGCTCATTTTTCCAAGAAACATATACAACAGCTATACTAAAATAATATGAAAAATAATACAATTTTATTACATTTTTATCATTTAATAAAGTTAAAGTACTCCTATTTCAAAATTATATTCCATACCATTTTATTCCAACTACCTGCAATCCTGCAATCCTGTCAGTTAAGCCGAAATACTAAAAATGCTGAAACTTGTCCAATTTTTAGTCTAACCAAGCCTTACGACACTTTAAATCCACTTATCGAAAATTTAGTTTTGTGCCATCGAAATAATTGAATTTCTTATTTCTGTTATTCCATTCTATCTGCTTGCCGCCTACCCGCCACTGCACCCGTCCACGCTCAACTTAACTGTCATTGCGAGCAGGTGCCCAGCTACATGTCAGAGTTTGTAATGGTTACAGCCTGGGTGCAAGATACTGGCATGCATCTGTATCCGAACACAGACATCGGAGGCAAATACACGGTCCTGGCGAATGGAGAATTGTACATAAATAATGCAGGCAACAATGATGCATTCAAGAGCTATACATGCCGCACAGTGAATAGACTGACAGGTACGTGATAATGACATTTGATATGAAAATAGAAAATAGAAAAAATATAGAAAAATAAAAAAATATATTAAAATATGAGATTACAAACAATTTTTTTTTTTTTTGATATCGCAATAATGTTTGCGACATTTGCTTGGAATTGTTTCCTTTGCACTTGCAACGCAACAATTTATGCAAAAATGCTTTGTTTTCTCCTGAGGACGTGAGATATGAGACGTGAGCAAGTGAAACACAATTGGAGCACAAAATGAAGACAAAAAGTTAGAATTGTTTATACTTAAACTTGTTGTTTCCTTGAGGAAGTCAGCAATGACTTCCGTTGCAGTATGCATCTCAAAAATAAATAAAAGAAAACTATTGGAAAAACATTTTTGATGAGATAAAATACACGCAGAATTCCGCTTCAGGAGTAAGCATTTGATACAAATTTGAGAAGAAAATTAAATAGAACTCAATGTACATAAATCCTCATAAATAAAAATACCATTAGGAACTGCTGGAATAGCGAATAGTAATATGATAAGTATTATATTAAATAAAAAAAATCGTGAAAAAAAATACTCTCGTGAAAGCAGCATAAATTTCATTTTCTTCTTTCAACTTTAAGAGGAAAATTTTTTTTTGTTTTTATCTGTAATAAATGTTCCATCTATGCGCTGTCCGCGTTGGGTATGAGTTTATTAGACGGCACATCGCTTCTGTTATCCTTCGATTTGATTTATGTTCGTTCACTTGGAATAAGTAAATTTAATAATTCTATTTGATTTCTACAAGTTGCCAGCCAGCTAGCCAAACTGCTTAAACGTGCATTTTCTGCGTAATTTATGAGGCATGACATGCAATTGGACACCAAATTCAGCCAGCAGCCACCACCAGCCACCACCAACTACCACGAGCTAGCACTCAACTCAGCAGTTAGCACTCAACCAAGGCAGCAACAGCAAGAGCAGCAATAGGAACAGCAGCAGTAACAATACCAGCAGCAACTCCAGAGGCAAGCCAGCATCTAGACGACCAAACTGCTGGAGACCTGCTGTAGATTGTAGATTTTGCACATTCGTATATTTTCCACAATTTTCTTTTTGATTTTTTTTTCTATACTCTGCTTAATGTATTTCTTGGTTTTATCATGTGCCATCGAAAGAAAGGATATCATGTGTGAAAGTTCTTAAGTCAAATTTTCTATTAGCAAAGTGCGAAAATTTCACATCATCAATCAATTGTACCGAAGTATGGGCCAATAGGTTTGTTGGTGTGTCAGTCGGGGGAAGACAAACTGTTTTTCTTCAAAACTCTTATGTTTTTGTTGTAATTCTGATATTTTACTAGTATAGCAGTAACTTACATTCATTTTAAATGGCTCAATAGATATTTTATGTTTCGGTAAATATTTGAAAAGGTTAAGTCGTTTATATATAAAATTTTATTAGCTGTAAATAAAATATTTTGTTTAAAAGATGGGATAACAAGTTAATAGCTATTTTGCAGAGGCACGTGCAGCTCATTAAGCAATAAATTTTCAAAGAAAATTTATTATTGTTCTCATTCAAACGATACTACGCCAACTGACACATTGTCAATAGTCTTGGTGGCACATTAATTTAAAGTATGTTTTGATTTTTTTTTATTAACTACGATACCAAGAGTAACTATATAACTTTTTAAAGAAAATTTATTATTGTTCTCATTTAAACGATAGTACGACAAGTGACATATGGTCAATAATATTGGTAAGCTGATGTAATCTCCAGACTAAAAGCATCCTGTGCTTTTATTTTTCATTTCAGCGACACCAGAACTATCTTTAGTATTGTAGTAGTTTGGCATCGTGGATCGATAGAAAGAATAATGAATAATGTGTCATATAAAAAGGCGAGTGCTGATATTGTTCCTTGCCGTTAATACGTTTTAACCCCGAGTAAAGTTTAGTTATAAGCTGTCGATGGTTAGAAAAGATCTCACGCAGTGCTTCTTTGCAGCACTATTATCTGCTATGTATATCTGTTGGTTTAGATAGTTCATTGTACGTTGCCATTGCCAAGATGACAGCGATCTCATCTGTTATAAATTGGTTTTAGATGAAGTACCCAATAACAACACTTTCTGAAATGTGTTGCATCCATTGTATTGTACTTCTGGTGTTGTCATAGTAGTATTATTATTACTTAACTATATCTAGAGACTATATGTGTAGAAAATAATTAAGGCAAATATACAGAACTTATAATTCCAACTAACTTTAACTAAGAAATGATTTTAACATGTGTTTTGTCTCCTTAACTGCATTAAAAACATACTCTAGGTTGTATATATAAAATGGCAATTTCGTTAATGATCTAACTATAACTATGCTAAATAGCTATATGTGTGTATTAATAAACAAGTAGACAAAATAATCGATTTTTCCTATGACACAGTTAATTATTTAATATTTTAAAGAACTTCAAGTAGGGTTTAAAAAACCCTGAAACTTCTAGCTATTAAACCTCTTGATCTCAGCTTTCACCAATAATTACAGAAATCCATTCACTTCTAAATGGTGGTTTTAGAAGGTTAAAGTGTAGCACTGTGGCTTAAAAACATAATACATTTCGCATACTGTTTACTTTGAATCATATTAAGTTTATTATACTGTATGATTACATGATTATGTATATGAATTATTGTGTTTGAATATGACTTAAAATAATACCTAACTTGTCCAATTTCGTTGTAGTCACCTCACATTACTCGATATCCAAGAAACACAATGACATAAATTTCAATATTTGAATAACTTAAGAAAAGTTGGTACATAAACGATTTATTTGTAGCATAACTAACTTTGTAAAAGATAATGAAATATCAAGATATAAATTTTTTTAATTTTTATGTTACAAAGTTTATCCTACGTGAGTAAATCAAGGAATACATACACATTTTATATTACTAAAGTCTCAACCATCTAATTGAATTACGATCACTCTAAATGAATGTCTTTGATAATCAAAATATATGAAGAAATTCTTTCCTTTTAGATACACAACTGTCCAATTTATGTAGAAATTCCTTTTTCCGCACATTTTAGTAAACTGTACCACAATTTGAATCGATTCTATATCTAATGGAAATAGAATGTATTCATTTGTTTAGTTTAAAACTATATAACGATATATTTAGCATTGAATTAATATTAATTAAATCCAAATACCTGTAAATGTCACTAAATAAAATATCATAATTAATAAATTGTACTTAATGTGGACATAATCAGTACAGTTATATGCTTATCTCAACTCATATTCAACATACAAAATCTATACTAAGTACATATACAATATATATATATGTATAGAATCCTTGTTCAGTCTTAGAACTCATAATATAATTTATTAATGAACCGATAAATTTCTATTGTAAATTTATAAATTAGTTTACATGCGCAACAAGCAAAACACTAATGTCCTTTTAAATAAACAAACAAATGAATAAACACAATTCCACTAACACAAAGGATATACAAAGGATATGATAATACTATTGAAAATCGTAATATCGCTGCGTGTCCTGTTAACTAATATAAATGGCGGCAAATATTTGAACATCATTAAATTTAACCTTAATTAATAGAATAGTATTAACAACAGCAAGAGCATCAATACAACAAAGCAGCAGCAACAACAACGACAACAATAATACCAGCAGCAATAATGGTAGTAGCAGCAGCAGCAGCAGCAAGTTTAACAGCTGCAAAAATAATTAAGTTATAAATGCATCGCATGCAGTTGTTTCAGAAACAAAGGCAATAACTGAACGGGGGAATCTGTGTCAGCTAACGCAATTTAATTTAATGAGCAGGCCTAGGATATTATGCCTGACCCACGTATGCGTAAATCTGCGGGATTTTATACTTTTAACAGAGGCGCTTGTAGGTTGGAATACTGGGTTAAGGAAGCACCAAAATTATTCAACTTTAATTTTATGGAATATTCTTATAATATTTATATACATCAATAAGGAAGAATATTTGGTTTAAACTTGCAAATATTTTTAATTGAGGAATTCTTGCAATATTTATGGTCATCTATAATGATTAAACAGAAATATATGTAAATTTTCCTAGCGTTAGTTTCACGCTACTGTATCCTGTATCCAACTAGTTTGCGATATGTTGATGAATTAATGTTTTGCTAATGAAATGAGCAACATACAGATTAGTTCAGTGAAGTATGACATTTATGCAAGCTGGAACAGCAACTTTTTTCTGCTGCGGTGCTTGTTAATGAAAATTGAAAACTGTTTAAGCCAAACGATGCAAAAACTTAACTCTGCCGATGCATTTGTTCGCTTTGACATCAATTTTAATTAAGTTTTTGCTTAAACAATATTTTGAAATATTGAAAACATGTTCATTAAAGTTATACAACATCATAAATATAAACGAAAACATGTTTTCAAATTTCATGAAAAACTTACATACACCAGATAATATTAAAATGCACAACCGAAACCATAGAGGACGAATAAAATCTTTGTTGGTCATATGCAGTTCATACAAATGCATAAACATTTATAAGGAAATTACTAACAAAAAATATGTATGAAAATTAACTTTGCTGCTTTAGTTATTAATTATAATAGAAAAAAATAAATTTTCAAATTTATTGGTATAAAAAATTAAAAATGATTCATAAAATTATCTTCAACGCACTTAAAAATGCTTCAATGTTATCGTACAACAGTGCGTATGAGCAACATATGGCGCATATAAACTACCTCAACCTATGATTAGTGTATATTATCGCTCGTTCGGCTTTATAAATATGTACATGTCGAAAACTGTTTACAACATAAATGTCAACTGGAGAGTCCACAATAAAATTTATTTCACACCAATAAAGAATAAACGGAAATATATAATCCACTCGCTTATTTTTATTTCCTTTTCAAATACTAAACTTAAATGTTCCGCTTTCTTTCTTTTTCATGGGTTTTGTTTACAATTTCTTTTTTTTCGCCATAATTTTTGCAGGTGAAATACAAATTTCCACATATCCCGGACGTATTATTGTAACAGAGCCCAAAGGTATGGTACAGCCACGTATCAACGTTGAGAAGCATTCGATGCGACATGTCGTGCTTAATGGGCAGACAACATTACCGTGTATTGCTCAAGGACATCCGGTGCCAACATATCGGTAAGATTTTTTTTCTTTTTCCATCTCTCATATCACGTGCACAATCCTATGAATATATAACAGCATATAACCGTTACTATGCATATATGAGTTTCAATGCATTTGTATGTGTTAGTATGTGATGGCGATGTTGTTTAAGTTTATAGTAACATTAAATGTATAATACCTAAAAGCGCTGTTGTTAAGAGGGGCATGAAGAGTAAGCAATTATGTGACACAGTTGAATATGTAGCGAAGACACAAATGTCACAGCATGTGTCACCAGCAAAAGCACTGGCAATGGCACATATGGTGATGTCAATATATGTACATAAAGTGTAACTAATACCAATTCTAGAGCCAAACACTTGGTAAAGTGTTCCATTTGCAATAAAGAATTTTAAAATTTTAATATTAGAAAATTGGAAAAGTTTGAGAACATTTAGCACTTGAGGTGAACACGAGTTTTAATTGAGACACTCCATTATGTAAATATTTAATTATATTGGCATTAGTTCTAACAAATTTAGGTTAATTCAATTGATGTTGTAGAAAGATATGTTGAAGGAAATAAATTCTTGAATTATTTGTCGATGTTTTTGCCTTCTTCCAGATGATGACTAATGACATAGATATATTCAAGCTCTTAAAGTATCACATGTCACTCATACAATTTAGCATTTCAAACTCAGCAGTATAAACATTACGACTTAAATGAAGAAAGTAGAAACTAACAGCACTGAAAGAAATAAAAAGAACTGAGCTTTCGATTAGTAAGAGCAGTTTAATACATATTTTATCGATTTGTTATCTATACCTACTTAAGTTCAAAATTATGCGAAACTGTGTTGAAATGATTTAAAAATTAAAGGACTAATATGTCTATAGCCAAATAAACAGAAAAATAGCAGTAGATCTTTAATTGTTCAAGGCAAGGGTTGCCATTTTCCTATATTGTTTAATCGAAAATAAAAATAAATCGTATAGTTACAACTTGATTGGTGATAACGATTTTAATACCATGAAGAATGTATAGACATATATAAAGAACGTAAAATGTGTCGTTTGATTTTAAGTCTCTTTAATGGAAGGATGCTTAGAGGAACGATTCCCTATCAATTTCGATGTAATACATATATACAAGATATATTTAAGCTAACTGTTATAATTACAATTTTATAACTACAGTCTCTTAGTTCCCACGATGATAACACTTAATAGTAATTTATTTCAAGCACCTTGAACGTTTAAGTTGTAATAAATATAACTGTTGTAATATAAAGTCACCAAAGAATACTGAGATGTACACTTCAGTTTATACTGTAGAAACTATTACATCCTTAGCTGCTATAAATGCCTATACTTAGTATATTTTCATAATCAATGATTCACATGCATGGCTATTGTAACTGACTGTACTTAGTATTTTTTCATAACCAGTAATGAGTTTAAGATAGTTAAGTATTTTACATCACTAACACGTTTTAGTAGAAGGTGGAGCTATGAGTACTATTATTTACGAACTACGACTTTAGACCATGTTTGTATGATTTAATTTTAGTGAAAATTCACTTATCATTAAGAATAATACTCTTATATCTCTGTTAAATGTGATTCTTTTAGCCAGCTAAACATATATTAGGCATACAACTGCGATATAGAGTGTAGTTTATTTCATAAACATGGATTTGATATTTAAAATGCTTTTATATATATGTTTCCAACACTTTCCAAACACTTTGTTGCTTTTCAAAGTTGATTTAGACTACAAAGTGTGTTGATATGAAATAAGTTCCAAATTCACTAATATATCAATTGAAAAACATTAATTTTTATGAAATTTTTAAACCATAACAAAAAAACAAAAAGTTTCTATCTGACCGATAGAAAAATATTAAGGAGTTTTTATAGCTAGCCTTAATATGTATCCGTAAAAGTATATATTGCCTAACAAAATCATTCCTTTTATGTAAAAATTTGTACTATCCTTACTTAAATATGTAGAATGTTTTTATTGTATTTCTTTATATGGAGAAAAAGGTTTTAAAAATGTGCTCTTCAACTTCTGTCAGGTCATTTCCTAAATTAATTCCTTTTAAAATATTAAATATTCATAAAATGAACAAATTTCAAATATTCACTTTATCAGTGCCCATAATGGATATCTTTCGGTATAAACAAAATCTCGAAAAGCAGACAAAAGACCAAAACAAAAGCTGCCAATGACCAAAATGACATCAAAAAGGGTACCAAGTACCAAAAAGTAGCATTATAAAGCCCAAAATTTGCTGTTAATATTTGAATTGAAACAGTTGGCTCATTGTGCTCAAAATAATTCAACAATTTCAAACATGAGCCAAAACAAAAGATTTTGGAAAATAAAAAATTTAATAAATTTTCATGAAAATAATCTGAAAACGAAAGGTTAAGGCAACTCAAGCAAAACTTCGCCTGCTGCCGTTTTGACCTAATAAAATATCACACAAGGAAAAAATATATAACAAAATTCTGTGAAAAATAAGCACAAACATGAATAAAAATAAAAAAATAATTTTGTAATAAAATTTTAATATTTTGCATCGCTAGTAACTGCAACAATTTACATATGAATTAATTTGAGGATAATAGAAAAAAAATAGAAATAGAAAATATTTAAAGTAAAGGCGCGGAAAATAAGAGTTATGCTCGTTAGTACGTCCGAAAAGTCACCTCGTCTGTCGCTAGCGACTTTTCAACCTTCTTTGCAACTCCATGTTAGTAATAGGGTCGGTCGCTCAGAAGTCATGCCCATGTGAAGTCATGTCATCTGAAGCGCAGCAAAGCTCAACACAGCGCATCCTGAAAATTTTATGAGTGCACAGTAGCGTGTTGAAGCAGTAACTGGAATATAAGCGTACAAGTACGAGTATGCACATGAGAGTACAACGGCATATAACGTCCTTCCTTGTTCAAGCTTAAACAAATAATGTTATGCGACCAGAAAAAAAATATTTTCAAAAAATGTAACTTAAAATAAACTAAAAAAATGAAAATGTAAACGAAAATATGAAAAACCAACAGAAAAAATATATGAGGAAGGATAAATAATAATGAATTGTGTAACGAGGCACAAGGAAGCGCATCTAAGGCACCACCACCACATTCCCAGCTGCAGTGCCAGCTTCCGCTTGCTTGCCTTACTAAATTCATATTTTCATTTGCTTAGCTCGGCACTTACTCACTCTCGATTTTCCTGTTTCGCTTTAAATTATTTTACATTTTTATGTTCACAGTAGCCATGCTGGCATAAACAGTCAACATTACTGGGATTACTCGGTACTGGATACAATTTTTACCTGCCTTAATTCACCTTTTCAGTTTTTCAGTTTTCGGTTATTGCTGCCAAGTACTCGGCTTCAGGTTGCCACAAGTTGACTAACTTCACTCTAATGGGACCATTAAGTAAAAATTTCATTTGTCAAATTTAAATTCCTGCTTGCTAAATTAGGTCGCAGGTGCAATAAGTGGAAATGTGGAAATATTTCAGTAGACGTAGGCAAGAACTCGGGATTTTGAAATGAAATTTCACACTCAAGGTATTAAATAAGTATTACAGTTTCAAAAAATACAATCTGAAGGATTTACCAAATTTACGCACAGTTTTAAAAAATGAATGCAATCTAAATGATACTATTCTTTATTAAGAAACCACAGCATTTTAAAATATATTCAATTCTAAAAATTAATTAAATTAATTTTTTATGTAGTGGGAACTTACTTGATCACACAGTCATTTTAAGTGAACTTTTGTCCAATAAAGGTGAATCTATAACAAATAAATATAAAAATAGATGAGTACTCGTTTAACGGGAGGATCTCTCTCTCTCCGTACAATGTATTTAACTTTATATAGTAAGAAATTTTAAGGATTTCTATTCGAAACACAAATCCTCTAAAGATACGATTTAATCGAAATGCTAAAATGAGCATACAATGATAAGATTGTAAGATCGTGTAGATTGCTGTTGTTAGAAAAGATAATATTTATATAAGAAAGTAAACTAAATGTCACCTTCGCTCACAATCACAACAGTAAAAGCCAGTTCCATCAACTGTTATGCGATAATTTTGAGAAGTTACTAACTCTGAAAAGCCTTAACATAACATACTCTATGATAAAGACTAATTTTTACTCTATGATAGCTGGGAGGATTGTGCAGAATCCCGCCCATATCACTGACTTATTTGAGTATTCCTGATAATCTTCGTGATTATTTAATGATTGATCTAAGATCTGCGTACCGCTACGTGCGTTTAGTGATTAGTCTGAGTTTAGATAGTGCTAAGTAGGGCAGGTTTTTGCATATATCTTCAGAGCACTGTCCCTTATATATTTTTTGATCGGATCTATTCTAAGGTCTCTTAGCACTGTTATACTCTTATTCGAAAGTTTTTAAATAACTCACTTAAATGATAAAAAACAAATTAATTAGGTGTTTGACATTTTTTAATAAGAAAAGCAGGTTAAATAAATCTTTTAACTGTCCAAAATGGTACTTTAAATTAACAAATATAGAGAATAACATAATATGAAGTATCCTTTCTGCGTCGCACCCATACTAATCCCACTTATTTCCCATCTTTACATTGAATGCAAAGACTTTTATTTGATATAAATAAAAATATTTGTCACGCAACCAATGAAGTTTTTTAACTTTAAAAATTCATATATAAAAAATAATATTCATATTCATAGTATATGAATGATTTTCAAAAGTAATGAACTATAAATGAAGACATATTAAATTTCAAAGGTATAATGTTTAACATTAATTCATTGAAAACTAACAGTAAACAAAGTATTAACGTTTCATACAATCGCAAATATTTAATCGTATTTATTCAACGTTTTCAATCGAATAAAATCAGTTAAGAAGAATACAAAGATACGCTACAATGTCATTGTATTTTGTTAAAATTCATATGAGAGATTTTCAAAGTCCAGTCATTTAAAACCAATAAATTTTATTTGTTGTCTACATGAAACTGAAGTTCTTTGCTGATTGGTTCAGCTGTACACTCAGTCTATGAGACCAAGCACTACTTCTGCATTATTTTGAGGCTGCAACCTTGTTACCAACAGTTCGGATAAACATCCAATCCAAGCAAGTAGAAGGGTATATGTATGAGGAAAAAAATAAAAAAACTCTTAATTATACTAAAATTTACTTTAACAATGCAACTGCACTTAAAGATATTATGAACACATTTTCTTAACTGTATTTGTGGTAATTCCTTCTCTTTTCCACATTTTCACTGTGTTATTGCTAGCTTACGGAAATTATCAATAAACGTTTTATCCAGAGTGAGTTTCCTCTGTTTCCAAATTTGATTTTCAGATATGGAATGTAAATTTTGGGAGATATTACAATTTTGGGCACCTGCTCTCTAATATACTAAAAACCTGTGACTTCTATCCATCTAGAGACATTCCATTTATTTGTCTTTACAGTGACAATGTCAGATTCAGATTATATCCAAGCCATAATAATTCAGTTTATTCATTACACATATTGCACGACTCTACCACCTGAAAACCGCTATTTAAAAGAATTTAATTTTAATAGCACGTTTAAAAACATTTAGTGACATGAGAACTGGCTGTGTAACTAGTTCAGGAGCAAGATAGTTTAATGCTAAGGTTTTATTACTGTTTGTCATTATTATGTTTTTATCTCAAGAAAGCAGTTCTGAGTATGTTTGCACCATTGGAGAATAATGTTAGTATGACTTATGCATAAAACATGCGAAAAGTCGCATGGTCTTCTCTTCTTCTTGTAAAATAAGAAGATGAACACTTTTTAGTCACACAGATCTATAATCAATTTAAAATTTACTATTCCGCCAATACATGGGCTTAACTATATCATTCAATACTTCCAATTTACTATAGATTCGAAACTACTTTGCTGAACGTGTAGGGCAATAAAAAGCAGTAATATAGCTTCTTTTTTTCGATATTAATCAATGTCGATTGTGTTGAATCACGGCTCAATTGTTCACAAAATAAATACACAGAAATAAATACAAAGAACGAAAAATATAAACAACAATGTAATTTAAATCTTAATTTTTGCATTATTTTTTATTTTCCAATAAAAAATACAACAAAAATTACAGCAACAATTGCAATCCTATATGTGTGAATTGTAAATTGTGAAATGCAAAATAAAATTAAATGCAACCGTAAAAATTACAGTGTTGCAAAGCACGGGGACGTGCTGCGCATTTTTATTGTCGAAGGTGCAATCATCAGACGCAACTACAGATACAGTAAAAATTCCTAACCCACAGATACGTCAAAGGACTCAGACATGTACATGGATGCTCGTATCGATAATGTTTGCATTTCGGGTGCACATTTTAAACAATTTTCCACTTTTCTGTTTTTTAAAATTATTTTATATTATTTTTTTACCACTTTTTTTATATATATGGTATATATAAATTTTCTCTTTATAATTGTTTTGTATGTCATTTCAGTTGGTTTAAGGAGGAGAATGAGCAATTGTTGCCACTGCAACTGAGCGAACGCATAACAATCGTATCCGCTGGATTGCTTAAAATAACCAAGGTAATTCACTGCCATTATTTGATTAAAGTTCAACATAATTGCAATGGAAAAGCCCGAATGAGTCGAGTAACACGGAATTATTTAAAATTTCCAACTTTTCGCATTTTTAAACATCAAAGGATGTGCATCCGCTGTATTGTGATTATTAAGTTCACAGCTGATGATTGCAGAAATCAAGTGTTTCATAAACTTTTTCGGACTTTTCCATCAACTACTTTTATTTTAAGACCTTAAATTGCTGTTTTAACAGTAGCTTAGGGCTGTAAGCTCGAAATGCTTTAAAATTACAAAACAAAAAGCATTCTTCGAAAACTTCGACTTGCATACTTCACAGCCATTTGCATAATTATGCACCATCATCCTTCAAGTTTTGTATGCATTTTGTTTTATTAACATTTTTATTATTTCTGCTTTTGTTCTACTACTTCAGGCACGTCTCGAGGACAGCGGAAAATATCTTTGCTGGGTTAACAACACCGCCGGCGAAGAAACAATTCAAGTCTCATTAACTGTTACAGGTAAGTAAAAATATTTACTCTAAAATATGTTGACGTACCTACCGAATACCGCTGCATGACTACAATAAGGTTGATTAAATGGTTATGGAACCAAGAAGTGTTATTGTGAAGAACTGAAATATTTTAAGTACTTTCAACAATGTGTTGCTCTATTACAAATACACATATAAACATAGAATACACATATATAGAGCAATATTCTCCTTAATGCTTCTAGAGATAATTTAGAGAGTCATGTAATTAAAAAAATCATGATGGAGTTATCACATTTTTAAAAAATAATAAACTAAACACAAAATGTTTTTTGTCGTAGATAGTGTCAATCTTAAAAGGTCTGGAGCGAAAAACTTTTTTGAGGTTATTTCTTATACAACTAAATTTTTATGTTAATTAACATATACAAAATTATGACGCAAACAAAAATTAATATTAAATTAAGGATTATCTTCATTTACAAGTTTAGAACAGTTCCTATCAAAAACATAGAAATATATTCTATGTTTTTGGTTCCTATAAAATACGAACTACAAATCAATGTCCGTTAGAAATTACTAGATGAAGCATAGTTATTATTTTAAAAAAATTAATAAAGAAATAATTTTCAAAGTAAAATTTGGCAGTTTTTATCTAATTAATGGCTATGTTTAGTATTAATTTTTTTATTGCTGTGCCTTTTCTTGCTTAAATTTGTATTATAACACATCAGTTAATTTATTATTATATATTATATCAGCTCAAATTTAACTATGATCTTTATATTTAACACATTAAAAGAAAATTTGATGAAAAAAATGAAAAATCATTGCAAATGTCAAAATAACTATTATATTAAAATTACATGCTTGAAGTAAACCGACATTTGAACAGTTTAAAGTGATTTTTATCAGATTACTAATTAGAACTTGATGAGAACTATAAACTTTTAGATAGTAATGAAATTTATAATTAACTAAATGAGAATTATAAACTTCAGATATTAATAGAATCTAAAAATTTGTCTAATGCAAAACTATACGAAAATACGATAAGTGGAAGAAATAGATCCAATATAAAATTTTAATATGCATTAACTATTATATTAAAATTACATGGCTGAAACCGAACTGAATTTTAGATATTTTTAAGTGATAGTAAAAGATTATTACTTACAAGTGAGTGAGAATTATAAACTTCGAAATACTCGTATTATTAATTTATAACTAACTGAATGAGTATGAAAAACTATTAAATTTTAAAGAAATTTAAGTTAAAATTTGTCTACTGCAGAACCATAACTGATTTTCTCAAAATTAAATAATAAATAAATAAAAAAAATGAAAAATAAAACGATTTGAAAATCTTTACAGTCTTGCAACTCGAAATACTATGATGCAAAATTACTACTCTAAAAGAGTAGATGAAAGGAATATAATGCTTTTATCTTTAAAAATATAAAATTTTGATGATAATAATTTAGAATTATAACTGACTATCATCATGAGCTCTGCCAACAGAAGAACTGTTAAGCTCTAATCTATTTCGCACCCTTGGCAACAAATACTAATACTAGTTTTTCAGAAACCACGAAAAACTATCAACAACTGCTATCAATTATTTTAGAAAATTTCAATTAGAATAAATTGGTGAAAATGCCTCAAATAGCTAGCTCTTAAATCAAAGAATAAGTGTAGTAGAGACATCCTTTAGACGATCTAAACTGATTGTCGAAAGGAAAGAGAACATCTTAAAACAAGAAGATATTACTCCTGATCGCAAGGAACTCAAAGGTAATATAAGTAAAGTCTGTCGCGACTCGCCATTATACCAAGGCTTACTGCAACGCTTCAATCTTTATTAGTATTCAAAAATCAACAGAACCCATTTGCACTTTAAAACTGAATAAATTTTAAACTTTATAAGATTTTGTGAAATAATTTAAACGCAAAGCTAAGTAAAAATAAATTTAAATTACACACAAATTGCCTTTAGTTATTATGCAAAAATGCAAATTTTTCATATCTGAAACCTCAAGTAAGCCCAAGGGCAGCTATACAGAACGCAATAACCTGTAATAATTTCGTTGCATTTGATAAGTGAAAGTTTTTAAATTTGAAAGAAAGGATGCACTTTTATACTAACCATAAATGCAGTAAATGCAATAAAATTTAAAGAAAGAAATTTTAAAACAGATTTTCTTTACACATTTTTATAAATTTTATCGATTACAGCACCATTAACAGCTCATCTCCAGCCACAAGTGCAAACAGTCGACGTGGATAAGGATGCACAATTTCAGTGTATTGTGTCCGGACATCCTGTGCATGATGTTAATTGGTTGCATGACGGAAAACCAATTCTCAGAGATAATCGAGTTGAGGTAAGGAACCAAAAAACAAGCAAAACCTGTGCACTGCTGATAATAAACAAGAACCATTTTCTATTTACCCACATACCCGTATAATACAAGTCCTTGTTGCACAAATACTAGCGCCACAACAAGGATGTGTGGCATGTGTACATATGTGCATATTGCAAGTATATTTAATGCCAAGATGCAATCATGCATTATTTATTTTTATTGGCATTAGTGTTGCTTCTTGATATCTCTTTGCAATATTGAGTGCTTGTGGTTAAGGGACGAAGGATGTTGAGTACAGAACACGAGTTCTGTATGTGTCTGTTTCAAGTTGATTATTTTTACGGTTTTTTATATTAGAAATTTCCAGTTTTTATTTTATAAATTTTTTTCATTGTTAAAACAAAAATGATTAAATTTCAACTATTAAATTTCACAAACTGTTATGGAAAAGAAACCATTTTTTAAATAACAACAATAATTCATTAAATGTACTATACAAGTATGAAATATTCAACTAATCAAGAGAGAACTTCTATTTGAAATTTGTTGATTAAATGCATTCAGGCATTTTGTTTAGTTTTAATTAGCATTGTTAAAAGTTTACATACAAATATTTCTAGATACTCACCGACCCACCAAGACTGATAATAAAGAAAGTGCAAAAGGATGATCCTGGCATGTACCAATGTTTCGTATCCAATGAATGGGAACAAATACAATCAACTGCTGAATTGCAATTAGGAGGTAAGTTTCTGTATATTATTTTTAATATAAATATACTCCTACATATATAGTATATATATATATGTTGATATATAGTACATATCTGACAAACTATACTTGTATTTATTAAATTTTGTTATGCAAATAATAAACATGAGCCTTAAAGTTACCAAAGTAAAAAAAAATACTTAAATTTAAATTCAAAGAATAAATTTTTGTGAAATATTTCAAATTTCTAGAACACCTCATCACATCTAAAAAACTAAATTATTGAGAAATGTGTATTTAGGTTTTAACCACATAAGAAAAACCATTGAATATAGACTTTAGATTTTTTGATTATTTATACTTTGCAATTTAGAGAATTTTATTTGATTTTGGCTCCAAATACCCTGAAGCTGATTGGCAAATGAAAAATATTGACTTGATAAATAAAATTTATAAAGAAAAATTTATTTAAGAACAAAATTAATTGAAGTTCTAATAAAGATTTATTAGCATAATTATTAAAAACAAACTTAAAGGAAAATTTTAAATTTGTGCAATTTTTTAAACCAAAATATTTAAGTCAATTATAAATCAAGTCAAATTATAGAACATAACTACGACAAAAAATCAACATTGCTATAAAATGATTTCTTATATATTTCACTCAATATTAATAATATATAATAAAGAAATATGAGATTGAACTTATTTAAATCAAATGAATAATTGAAGCAGTCTCAAACCTGTCAGTACGAAAGCTTTCAATACGATCACTATATCATCAAGCTTAATGCTATAATAAATAACTATTAATAACTATTAGATATTATTATAACTTTTAGATATTAGGTTTAAGGCAATAGAGTTTTGTACCTGGTCGGCAGAGGGCGAAACTTCTAGTTACATACATTGTAATTATCCGGCTATGAACTAAGCTAAATATATGATATTGGTCCTGTACACGATTGGTTCTGTACTCAAGGTTAATGCCTGTATTGAATAAAGGATGAAAAATAAAACATTTAGTCACATTCATTGTAATTGTTCGATTTTGATTATTTTGAGGAACTTTGATTCGTACCTGTTCGACAAAGGATTAAACTTCTAGTCCCATACATTGTAATTATCCGGCTATGATCTAAGCAAAATTTATGATCTTGGTTTTGTACTCGATTGTTGATACTAGAAACGCTTAAGTAAGAAACACTCTTTATTGCTTTCCAAAGTTTAAGTATTATCAGTTTATTTAAGATTAGTTGGAAAAATAAAAAATTGCTATGAGCTATTCTATTAAATTCTTTACTATCCTATTCTCTTTCTTGCTTGAATAAGCAAATTGAAAATTTTAATTTATTTGTATTATTTTTTATGAATAAATTGGGACAAATCAACCATTGATGTTAAAGCTCATCATAGTTGAGCCTCAATTTATTTCAACATATGATGTGAAGGTTTAAAGACTTAACTTGCTATTTGGATTACATTTTGTATTTATTTAAATTCCAATTCATAAAAATAATTGCTTCTCATTATTGAAATTTTAATTATATTATTGTTTGCTTTTATTTAATTAATAACAATAGCTGTTTCCATATATATAATAAAGACGTGTCTCTAACAGAATCCTTCGCAACAATTTCCATTGATACCAATTCCGAAGGAAATTCTAAAATTTCAATAAAATCTAGAATTAAATCTTTTTTGGAATTTAATAAATTTGCAATTAAGTCCCAAACTGAATCTTATTTATGGTTAATCATTTAACAAAATAATCAAGTCAATGTGGCGTAATAAAGACGAAAATAGCTTCACATCCTGCGGGTGTTAACAAATAGCAAATGAGACATTAAAACCACAGCAGAAACTCATTTACTTCATTGAGTGCGGGTTTTATGCTTTAAATCAACCATCATATCCGTTTGTCACACTCACACAAACATACACACACATGCATACTGGGACATTATACTTGTATGAGTATATTTGTTTCCGAATATCAATACACAAACAAATAAATGAACCCACTTTGATTTTATTAAAACCACTGCAATCTGTAAAATAACACAATAAATTACACACACACAATAGGATAATACACAGCTGTGCACACATACATATGTATATCCTTTCATTTGTATTATGTGTCATAATTGCATTTCATTATATTCTGATTTAGCAAATTGCCGTTTTTACTACTGTCGACAGACATACACACACACCGAACCGATGCTAAGAAAGCTAAAAAAAAGAATTGTTAATAGTACAGAAAGAGTTGGTCATGATGCCTTGTGAGCACTGCAGTGATGTGGTTTATATTTGTGATTGATTGGGTCTTAGTAAAGGCAGGGATTTCTCTTCTATTCGAGTAGTTCATGGGTTTAGTTTGGGAAGCTTAGTTTGGGAAGTTTGGAAATATTAAGTTTTAGAAACAATTTTAAGTATTTGGGGTGTCCGTCATGATCTTTCATAAACTTCTATTATCAAATGCCAAACTGGGCATTTATACAAAAAGTATTCAGCTGTTTCTTCGTGTTTTCTGCAGGTTATGTATTTTTGGTTGAAGAGAATATTAATTTCTAGGCATATATACTATGTATACATACATAACGAACATATACTTAAATATATAAAGGGATATCTACTTCACGATATGCCTAATATGGTCATGATCATAGTTTATTAATACTTTCAAATAACATAAACTAACTACAGTCGTCATTGGCAACACATGTATGGTTTGTTATTTTACATTTTAGTGAATCGTTAAACAACCACTGAATGTTTAAAAACTCTAGAGACAATTTTATACATTGAATTTCCTTCAGAAATGAGGCTTATTTTTTGTTTTGTGAATATGTTAACAAATAAAATTACAACTCAGTGGTCAGTAGACACTCATAAATAACTTTCAGAAGGCCATTGTCATCCACGAATCCATATATAATCTTAGATTTTTCGAAATGTATCTCTTAGGTTTTGATCTGAAGATGCGAAAGGTCCGCACTATTATAATAATGCAGAAGATGTGACAAACTATTAAATCTAATCGTTTCAACAATATGATTATCAATTTTTTAGATTAAAGTTGAGGATATGGATGTCGAAAATTTGTGGTTTCAACAGGATGGATAATGTAACTTGTGATTATACCACACGTCTTGTTTTGGCTTTGTTGTGCGGAAAACATTCCAGACTAGTGATTTTACGCTTTGATAATCTAAACTAGCTATCGAGATCAAACGATTTGTTACCACTTGACTTTTTATTGTGATAACCGTCAAGCCATCTACATTTTGAAACATTATAATAAACAATCGTTAAATTATGGCGAAGGTATTGTTAGGTGTGTGGAGAGAAATCATTTAAAACTATCTCAAAAAGATTTAGTACTATAAGATGTACTATAAGGTACATCTTAAGTTAGTACTATAAGGAAACAAAAATTGCCTGAAAATTAAAAACTTTAATCTTAAGTGTGATTTACGTTCACTGTCGGAATCATAAAATTAAGTATTTATCAGTAATAATTGAAATAAGAAAATCAGTTCAAATTTAGTAGGTCTTTGCCCCAAGAGTTGAGGAGTTTAGCAATATTTAATGAAGTGAGCTACATTTTCAATTATTAGAGACAATCAAATATATTTCAATTTTAAAACTAAAATAAATCTCGTAAAATATATTCTAGTAATGTATTTTAATAATGTTTCTTTCCAGCAAATCTAAATAGTTTTATATAATCACTTTCCATTGTAGCTCATTTGAACTGTTTTAATAAAAATACCAAAAACAAAAAAAAAAGGTAAGGCTAATAAATGAGTATTGCATTCCTTTTATATACTAAAAGAGGTTGTTAAGCCTGGAGTAATACCAACACCATGTCGTGTTATACCGCATTTCAGATAATGTGCCATCACAACCACGCCGACAAGTAAATCAGAGCGAACAGCATATGAATTTGCTTTTAGGCAAAACCGGAAATTGATTTCGATGTTTTATTGGCATAGTTCAGTGTTACAACATCCGTTAGAAATATTGTATTTGTTAGCCTCTCAGCATCTCGCACATCACTCCTATGTATAGCACCTTTCAATGCCCCAGCATTAGTCATTTACATACTCACGCAATCTGTTTTTGTTAGGATTCGAACATGCGTTATCAATAAGAAGGCAGAATAAATAAGCCAAACGAGTAAATGTCGTTTAAGGCGCACATTATTAAATGATGATGCCGGGAAACGTATGTTGCCACTCACAATATAAATCCCCCTAACAAAGCCCTCTAAAAGTTTGGCACTTTTCCATCAGCCAAGGAAGCTAAGAGAGCGCTCGCCACAATTTGTTACAGTTTTGTGCGATGTGGCAATGAAAAATAACATATAGGCTTTGCTCCCTTTTATATGATTTTCTGTGGCAAATATGTGGTCTTTAACTGGTATCGATAGAATGTGAAAATGTATCGTAAGTCAAGTATATAAAGACAGAGCAGCTTGATTGATCACATAAACATTTTATTAAATGAAAATTTTAAGTCATAAATTTTCATTTAAAATTAATTTCAAATAAGTATCTGTAAAGAAAATGTATTAACATTTTAATAGAAATTCATTTACGAAAATTAAGAAAGAAAGTTTTCCAGCTCAAACAAATTCTTTATATGAAAAATAGAGATTTTTGAGAAAATGTATTTGAATTAACAAAAAAATTGTTACATTATAAAATTTTAAAATATTAAAATATTTTTAAACTTTACATTTTAACGGAAAGCTTATTATTGAACTCACTGGATCACAAGCATTGTATTCATCAAACCCTTTACCATATTGTATTCATCAAACCCATATAGGTATTTTCATATATAGCTTAAAATATGTTTTTTATAATATACATATTTCCTTCATGAATAAATGAGAGATCAGACCTAATTTATATTACATATATATTCAAACAATTCAGACAATTCGAATCATTTTATCACTTTAGTGATACCTATTTGTTCAGCCATATGTTCCTCCACTTCTGAGTAATAAATATTTTATTAATTAATTATTTGACACTATTTTATATATACTGCTTATAATTTGTTTCCCAAAATGTTTATATCCCAATGAATATATAAATGGACATAATTTAAATTATATATCTTTTCGATCAGCTTGACAAGACGGATAACGCTATTGTTATTTGTATGTCTAGCTAAATGTTCCTCCACTTATGATCTCATAGAATGAGATTTTGCACACAATCTGCTTTAAATCAAAGTAGATAAATGGACCAAAATAATAGGGACACTCCATAAAAAATAACACTACGATATAAAATGAGTTCATATTTTTATTTATTTAAACTAATTTAGAAATACACAAAAATATCCAAATTAGCGCTAAAAATGTATAGTTAATAGTTAATTAATAAAAAACTCTATCTGACAAGTGTAGAGATCTTAGTAAAACTATAACTGAATTTTTTTCATACTTTTTTTAAATAATAATTATATGTTTTTGAAATTATTATTAACGTCACTATTCGTGAGTCAATGTGTATGAAAGTATGAAAGAGCAGAGCTCAGTCCTGTGTACGAAATCCTAGAGAATCAAATGTTTTTGCAATCTTTAAGTTACTTTAACTTAATATTTAAGTGCTTAATATGTCAATTAGTACAAAAGTCATCAAATATTTTACCTTGAATTAAAAAAATTTATTTATTAAGTCATAAATTCTAACTAGACTAAGCCACAATTAAGCCATAAGTGCACAAACGTATAAAATACAATTAAAACATATCGTATTTATATTCATTTTTAGCTAATTATAGGCAATTTTTTTTTAATAAAACTTAACCACAGATTTAAGTTAAAATAATTTTTATTATAATTTTAGATGCCTCGCCGGAACTACTCTATTGGTTTTCGGAGCAAACATTACAGCCAGGACCAACTGTTTCACTTAAATGTGTAGCCACTGGTAATCCACTGCCACAGTTTACATGGTCTTTGGACGGATTTCCAGTAAGTGCATATAATTACATATTAACAAAATCCTTTAAGATAAATTTAAAGAAAATGACTTAAGTGATATCAAGCTCAGAATTTTGTATAACTTCTAAAATATTATATATGATCCCATTTGACATCTCATTTTACTACAGATATCTTTAAATGTACCAAAGATCAAAAACCACTATTTTCATTTCTAATATGCTTAAATAGACAAGTACATATATATTTTTATATCAAACAGTAACTTCTAATATCTATTGTGTATCGAAACTTTCATAAGTGTTGGAGGTAAAAGCAAAGTCCTTTTTAGAAAAATAAGTACAAAAAATAATAATGTTTGCTAATACATATTTTTTCTCTAAGAGCAATATAGAATAAGGTATGTTCAGACAAAATAAATATAAAAATGGTTCATTTAGAAACGTCATTAATAACATAAATTTTGAATATGTTCTTAAAAAATATTAAGCAAAAAATAAATAGTGACAATATAGCATACATCTTGTTCATCTAAAAATAACTATTGCACAGTAACTGTGAGCTTTTATAAAACGCTATTTGAACGTATCTTTGTTTAGAGATAAAGTTAAAGTATGTTCTTAGAGTAGTGTACATATATTGTACATCCATTTCCTCTAAAAGTAACTACGGTGCAACTAGAAGCTTCTTTAAAATGCTATTCGAACGAATCTTTGATTGGAGATAAAGTATACATTGTACTATGAATCTTACACTTATTTCATCTTCTATTAAACGCTATTAGAATGAATATAATAATTTTAAATTTAAATGTTTTCATTGAAAAGATAAATATACCAGAGAAACACTTTGTACAAATACCATTTTATTGTTAAAATAAGTAACGAGTGAATTATTGTTCATTGTAGATTTAGATAGCAAAATCATTGCAGCATTCTTTATAGAAATTATAACTTTTTCTTGAAAACCTTTACTCCATTTTCTGAATTTCCAAGTATTTATAACATATTTTAAATCTTTTTTATGTCACATATTAAATTTTAAATTCATATTGTCTAACTTATACTTATAAGTGTTAGATAAAACATTTTTCAATATAATTTTTAAAAGACACATGAACAGCTAACTAACTTTGACGTTTAATCTGATTACTTTTCTATTTACAGATTCCCGATAATTCTCGCTTCTTAGTAGGTCAATATGTAACTATACATGACGATGTTATCAGTCACGTCAACGTGTCAAATGTCAAGGAAGAAGATGGTGGCGAATATACCTGCACCGCACAAAATGCAATTGGAAAGTTAGTAGCGAATGCATTTTAAACATTATTATTATATGTTATATAAGTATAGGGATTATTTTAAGATTTTATAAATTTTATATTATAATATACATCCGTTAACAAGTACATTAATGGATCAAAAAAAAAAAATAGTAAATTAACAAAGCTAAAATATAAATCATATATGTTATATTTTGCTTCTCAAATATTTTTTTTTAAACATTATTTTAAAAATAATATGAGCTCTGTTAATCTATTATTTATGTGAATTTTTTTTACATTTATCATTATTTTTTTGTGGTTACTCTATCTATTATTTAGCATATACATTTATATTCTTCGAGTTAACTACTTTTCAATGCTCATTTTTAATAATGTTTTTGTACTTTTTTTGCCTGCTGATATAGAGTATCGCATAGTGCCAAAGTTAACATTTATGGATTGCCGTATATACGTGAAATGCCAAAAATAACAGGGATATCTGGTTCAGATTTGATAGTCAAATGTCCTGTGGCAGGTTATCCAATCGATAAAATACATTGGGAAAGAGGTAAGCGCAAAATTGTGTTGGCAAAAAAACCGAAACCAGATAAAAAAAAATTATTAAAGAATATATTTAAAAACGTATAAAAGCTTTATAATTTGAAACACACAAATGCATTGATTTAGTTTTTTGTGGAACACAAAGTCCATGCAAAGCACAACAAATTATTACAGGGAAGGGCATATATTCTACTGAATTGTTCGCATAAATCCTGAATGGAAAAACATTTTTATGCATTCAGCAATTTTGTTGCCTTATTAATTTGCTATAGTTTTTTTGGACTTTTTGAGCAAAATTTGCAATATAATATTTTGAACTTTTCAGTGTTCTATTGAAGCATTTGATTACCAGAAAAAAGGCTTTTAATTGCTGAACTGCAAAATTTTCAAAGTAGTTAGTTCAGCTGAAATTTAATTTTGCAGCGTGCGAATTTAAATTTTGTTTGATTTGCAAAAATTAATTAAATTTACTTAATTCAAATAAATATTTATTACATAAAACTTAAATAAAAACTACAAATCAAATAAATTTTAATTATTATATATTAGCTTTTGTTTATTTAAATAGGTATATATATATGAATAAACCATATAAATGTTTATATAAATCGAAAGCGCATTCAAAATCATATTAATATTACTTAGATAAATATAATTAAGTTGGGTTTATTATTTTTAGATGGACAAACATTACCTGTCAATCGACGACAAAGAGCTTACAACAATGGCACTCTAATCATAGAGCAGCTTCAAAGATTAGAGGATGCTGGCACCTATACGTGTATGGCACAAAACAAGCAAAAGCAGACTTCGCGCAGAAACGTGGAGATACAAGTATTAGGTAAACTAATAATTTATCTCTAAATTTATTTTACGAACTACCATTTTACGAATTTTCAAATAACATATTTAAAAGTTTAACATAAATCACTAAATAACTAAATCACTAATTAAACTTTAACATTCATTGAAACTGCTTTCGCAGTTTGCTTTTATGAACTGAATTTTGAATGAAAGTTACTCATACGCACCGACGGCCCACTTGCACATACGAGAGATAACTTATTTCTATTGCAACAAGATTAACCTACTTTTTCGTTTTTTGTACTTCTGCAATATAAATAAATCTCTAAGCCATGTAGAATGCAGAATAGAAAAAACTATTCTGTACTTAAAACAAAATGACAAAATGTACGTGATTTTATTATTTGCAGTAGTTCAGCTACACACAGTCACAGTTGGAGGAGCGTAAATAAAATATATTTTTTTTTTATTAAATATACTGTAGTATAGTAGCTGCTATAAATTATTCACATACTCGTATCTTTTTATTTATTTAAACGAGTTTAACAAAGATATCACATTCATGAAATGTTAATATTGCAATGCTGCACGTTGCACGCGGCACATAGCAATGATAGTTCGCGTCTCGTGTTGCATTTTGTATTTGCAACAAATCTCATTTCAATTTCTATTTGTGTGCGTGTGCTTGTGTCCGCGAAGAGGCAAATGCCATTTCTATTTGTCATCCAAAGCGCACTTTTGTATCTTCTAACATTTTAATAAGCAGACTAGTTAAAGGCATTACTAATGCATTTTTTGCCATATGCCACTGTTTGCACTTATTCTGTTACTTTGATATATACTTGTACTTGCTTTCTAATTTTATTAAAGTATGTAGCAAGATGAATCTTAATGTTTGTAGATATGTTATCTCTTTAAGAGTCACATTACACATTGTGAAATACTTTATTATTATTTATGATTCTAAAAAATATAAAATCATATCACATAATTTGAAATACTCATTAATTTGTTTTAAAAATGAGATAGTTTTTCACTATGTAAATATTTTAATATAAATATGCAACTTGAAAAGCATTCCAATAAAACGCCACAGATACATTTTTCTATCTACCAAAAATCACTAAAGTACATTTAAAATAAAACGGATCTACTTAGGTTAAATTAGGTTTAACATTATAACAATGAGAATAGTAACAAGAATTATAACAATAATAATAATATTATAATAAGAATTATTACATTCAAAAACTCAACAGAATTCAGAGGACTGCATGTGTTGGCGTTACAGAGTTTCAGACGACCCATTTGGACACCATAAATGCAGTGCTACATCTGCTACCATTTGATCTACAAACCTGGTTTACACATTTGATATCCATTTAGGCAAAACGTTTATACCAAATAAGATTGACACTTAAAGTCCATCAATCTTTCAGCATAAAATCAAAACGTGTTAAAGAATCGGAAACATTGAAGAGAATAAATAAACAGACGTTTTGGCTCACATTGGTACTTCACTAGATGTATTCCTAAGTGTACCAGTTAATGTTCTTCTAGCTATCATTACTTTTTTATAGCTTCTTAATAACAAATGAAAGATACTTCGATTGTGTGTAACTTCTCTTATAACAAAATCCTCATATAACAAGATCAGATCTTGGTCATAAACCTGGAACTTATTATAAAAGAATGCATGAACCGTTCTCTCTGGTCAATGATACATAGGAGCTTACTCAGAGAAACTGTGCATTCCTTTTAATATTTATTGTAAAAGTTGTGGAAACTTACAGGAAAAACAAACTACTAAGCATTTTTTTTATGAATTTCCGGCTGAGACCTCAGAAATAAGTAGGTTTTTAAGGAGCTGCATTTTGACAGTTTGTCAGGCTTTTTATTGATAATGACGAAAGATCTATTAGATTTTCTAAATTCGATAAGATGGATTTGGTTGTTCTCTTCTTTTAGCTTCGCTTCCGTTGATTTCAATCGGTAGTTGAAGTCAACGGAAAGTAATCTGGTAAACTTCCCCTGCATTAAATCAACCGATGTTTATGTGTATTATAAATTATATCTTTATATAAAAAAGTCATAAAACTCGTGCAGTGACATATATTCCGGTGTTCTTTTGAAGAGTTACGTATTTTATCATTGGTTAGAATTAGTTGAATCTATAGTAATAGTTCTTTATTCCAGTGGACGCCTTTTTCCATAGTACTTTTCTTTCATATTAAGTACAACCACCACGCAATACAGTAAAATAAATCTCAAATTATGTATATCGTTATCATTTTTCAAAATAAAATATTTCGAAATATATATGTATTTTTTTTTTGTCACTGAATATATAATATTTCTGATTTTAGTCAAATTCATCGCCACAATACCAAAATCACTATTTCAACATTTTCACATTTTTAATCACTACAACATTTTAAGTGATTTCCATTGTTTGATGAAAGTCGTTGACTTCACCAAGCCACGATACAACAACAAAAACGCCACTACAAGTTTTTATGCTTATAAATCACAAAAATAAATAATAAAATCGTTACCACTTCCACCACCCCACACCACACCATATTACACCACAGCACACCATAATACAGCCACCCTTTCAATCAACGCCAATAGCAACAGTAGCGCAGCAATAGAAGCAAAATTAAAATAATCTTCCTCATGATACGTAGAGGAACATAATTATCATTTGCTAATTATCAAAAATACTCGTTATGCTCATCATTATCATAAACTTCAACATTAACATGAACATCATTTCATGAAAACAATCAAAGCTGCTTAATAATTATCGTAGGCAAGGTTTGGTTTGGCTTGGCTTGGCTTGCCACAGCACTTGATACATGCAGTGCGGCTGCTACGCTGTTGGTGGTGGTGTTGTTGTTGTTGTTGTTATTGTAGTAGTAGTTGTTGTTGTTTTGCTGCTATGCCACTATCAACCGCAATTGTAATGAGTTTTCACCACTCCTACAATATGTACTAATGAAAATGGCAACACTACTCCACACCACATCATAACGTGTTACTACTACACTACAGCTAACTACAAATTGTCACACCTCCCATCCTCCGTGCCAACATCCTTACTTTCATTAGCAAGTGAATTCATGATTTTTTGTGGTTTTTTTTGTTTTTTGCTTTTGCAGTGCCACCAAAAATTATGCCGATACAGGCCATGACAAACATGTTGCGGGAGGGTATGCGAGCGGCAATTTCATGTCAAATATTGGAAGGAGATTTGCCAGTCAGCTTTCGTTGGGAGCGCAATGGTAAACCGCTAATAGGGACGGGGTAAGTTGCAAAAGTCTAATAAATTTGTATGAAAGGAAAATAATTTCAGCAAAGTTGTTGCTTTTAATTTATATTACAAAATTGTTGTTGTCTTTTTGATTTGTCAATTAAATCAATATCACCCACTCACGCACTTATGTACGTATACGATCTTTCTTACAGTAATGAAGTGTTTCGCCGTTTGGATGAATATTCGGCCAGTTTGGTCATTGAACATATCACCTCCGAACATTCAGGGAATTATACTTGCATCGCGAGCAATGTGGCGGGCACCGAACGCTTTACAGTACCGCTTACGGTAAATGTACCACCGAAATGGGTACTGGAGCCAAAGGACTCTAGCGCACAAGCAGGACAAGATGTGCTATTGCACTGCCAGTCCGCAGGTTATCCCAAACCGACAATCACATGGAAGAAGGCTATTGGCCCCACCCCAGGCGAATACAAAGACTTTTTATATGAACCTACAGTACAACTTTTTCCTAATGGTACGATCTACTTTAAAAAGATCAGCAAGGAGTCACAAGGACACTTCCTTTGTGAAGCAAAGAATAATATTGGTTCTGGAGTTAGTAAAGTAATCTTCCTTAAAGTTAATGGTAAGTCATAAGACAAAAATGGAAAGAAAAACGAACTTCAAAATAAAAACACAAATAAAAAAATGTCTTGATTCGTTTCTTTCCAATTATCTTTCTTTCATTTTTTATTTTCTATTTTCTATTCTTTCTATTTTTCTGTTTAATTTTCATTGCTTACAGTTCCTGCGCATTTTCAAACAAAGTCCAAACAAATATCCGTGGCAAAGGGAAAGCAGGTGCATGTACAGTGCAACGTACAAGGAGACAATCCCATCGATATTAAATGGAAAATACAGGCGACACAACAGTATCTTGATGAATCATTGGACTCAAGGTATGCATATCAAAGTCAACTTTTATTGAAAAATTCAATGCAGTTGCTCTAGTTTTTTTTCTTTTTTTTCCAAATTTCATTTCATTTTTTCTTTTGTTTGACAATTTTTGTCGTTTATTTGTACACTTATGTGTGTATGGTCGGCTTATAGGTGTGTCAACTGGTCTTTACACTTCTCGAAACAACGCACGTCGAAAAAGTACAAAGGCTTTCAGCCTGAAAACATACAGAAAATTGCTTTCAATTAAGAAAGAATTTCTTTGACAATTTTTTTTCATACATTTTTTGCACTCTAAAACTAAAACTAATTAAAGAGTATTTGTCCTTATGACAATAACAGCAACATTAGAACCCTTTACAAGGTGTCTTCCTGCTATTGACAATTAGTAATCCCAAATTACTGTCAATTACAACTACAACTCAGACTACGAAAAAGTGTAATGAAAATATTTGATGACACTAATTAAACACTAAATTTGTAGATATCAATTTGAATTTGTTTATAAGATGTTGGTATTGAAATATTATAGTTATATGTAGTCCTGGTTTTGAAGTAAATATTTGTAATACTAAAAAAATTATATCGGCGTTAGTTTTAAAAGCACCTATAGAGAAAATAATTACCAGACGGCCCTTACTAATATGTTCTTTAATTTATCAAATAGCATATTATTTATCCCATTGCATTAATTAAGGAAGGAAAGGAACAAAGAAGATTTTAAGCTTTACTCTAATAAGAAAAGTAAGGAAAATCAGTGTTTTCATTAAAAAATAATAGAACTTTATACTTCAATCTTAATAGCCCTATGCTCTCACTGGGAACATCAATTCATATATCATTATTGTTAATATTACATGTATAATTCAAAAGTTATAATAATATATACAAAATGAGGACAAAATAGAATTGACTAAAATCATTACCTAAGAGAGATATTTTAAAAACAATGCGTACATTAACAACACTTATTAGTGGATAATACGGTAGAAATTCACTAAGTTTTACAGATAATCATTGAAAGATTGATAATGTTTTTAATTAATTATTCAAAATATTGAAAATTTATCAATCATTTGAAAAACAGAGGTTGAAAAGCAGAGGTACAACTACAATAAAAATCACTGTGAATTCTGTTCAATTCTACCTCTTCAGTATAGAATAGTTATCTTTTCTACTTCATTAGTACAGAATAATCATCTCTTCTACATCTTCAATATATTTCTTCTACTTATTTAGTATAGGATAGATCTCTGTTCTACTTTTTTCAGAAGAGAATAATCAGTAGAGGATAGAAGTAATGTCATGTCTCTTACTTCTTCTGTATATGATGGTCATATCATATATGTAGATGGTAATAGTCATGTCCTTTACTTCTTCTGTACATGATAGTAATCTCTTCCACTTCTGCTGCTAGAAGGATCATATCTTCTACTTATTCATTATAGTAGCCTTTGCTACTTGTTCAGTATAGGATAATCATATCTTCTACTTAATTAGCATAAAATAGTCATTTTTTTCACTTTCGTCTCTTCCATGTCTGCAGTATATTATAGTCTACTCTTTTATTTCTGCAGTACCGGATAGTCGTCTCTTGTACTTTTTCAGTACAGGATAGTCGTCTCTTCTACTTCCATAGTATAGGATAGTCGTCTGTTCTATTTCTTCAATATATTATAGTAGTCTGTTCCACTTCTTCAGTATAGAAAATCATCTGTTATATTTCTTAAGTAAATTGTAAGTAAAGGGTAAATAGAGATAGTTATAATAGGTAGTCATCTCTTTTATTTCTTCAGTATAGAAAAGACATCTGTTATATTTCTTCAGTAACGGGTAGTCTTATCTTATTTACTTTTTCAATATAGAATAGTCACCTGTTCTATTTCTTCAGTATAAAATAGTGGTCTGTTCAGCTTTGCAGGTTTGAGAAGTTTGAGATTCAATTATAAATCGTGATAAAGGTGATAGATTGGAACCCTAAATTTTTATTCTTATAAATACCTGCGGTGGTTTTCTGGATGTATTGAATTTCATACCATTGTAATTTCTCTGAGTTTGACATTGGATTATAATGTATAATATAGATGGTGGATTAGGAACCCCAAATGTTGATTGCAATAAGTACCTGAAGGTGATTTGCTATATTTGCCTTTTACCCATTAAGTCAGTTACAGTGCCGTACGTTACAAAATAATATAATATTATAGGTATTAAAATCCATTTGTATTCTAATATGTAAATATATGTACCATATAATTTATTGAAAAAGAAATTATATTCTGAGATATTTCAAAAGTTGTCATAATAAAATAAAGTGGATTTAAAATTGATGACATACCCTGTATAATCGATTCCTGTACAGGTATAAGCACTTGAGTTTGTCTCACATTAACAATATGTTACCACAGTTAACACAATGAACGTACTTCACTGCCACAAATGCCATTTGAGTAGAAATTTTCCATTTATATCAACTTTTACCTTTTATGCTAAAATATTTGCTTCTTCTTATTTTTCTTTTTTGAACATTTTTCCATTTTCCATTTACCATTTGCCATTTTACTTGAATATTAAAACGAGCAAAGAGTATAAAGAGTGTATATTTGTTAGTTTTATTTATTCTCCTTTCTTCCTATACTATTTACAAATACTTTTGTATCGCAAATACACACACACACACAAGTACGTACGTAAGTGCTTCATATATGCAGAAGCGCACAATTCACTTCAACACACACATACAAACATACGTGCACTGATGCAAATACATCGTACGCGGCACGGATCATATGTCTTCGTCTTTGCCAACCAACAATGACAACAAATTTAACAACAACAATAAAATTGTAACTCATTGTAAAATTCATGTTGCACAAAAACACAATAAAAAATGAATAAAAGCACGCAAATAGTTACACATTCACACATTTACACAACACACAATACACTACACTCATACATTCGTTCTGCATTGAAATGCTCGCAAAATAAGAAAATAAATTTACTTAAGTAAACAAACAGACAAACAAACAAACAGTGAAAATAATACTCTTTCGTCTGTAATAGATACACGATACGTGATCAGGTCCTCGACGATGGAATGGTATCCGAATTAGGCATTTCCCACACATATCGCCAGGACACAGGCATTTATATTTGTCAGGCCAGCAATGCATTTGGACAGGTAAGTTTATCCATGTTAAGGACATTCCATTTATTTCCTTCGCTGTCGTTCTGTTATTTTCTATTTTTAAATTGGACGAAAAAAAATAGAAACAAAAATACCTTTAATGTTAAAATAATTATTTGAAATATTTATGTGTTTAGTGATAGTACACAGAAAATAATGGAATAATGTTGTAGATGATCGCAATCCAAAACAAAAGTTTTCCACAAAAATTTATTGCAAATATATTTTTTGGTTTTTTAATGCTGTTAACTGGCACTTTTTAATAATACTATATTTTTTTTTTCTAAATTTCTTCTTTATAATGTTAATAAATAATTTTTTAATTGTTTCTTTTTGTTTTTCTCATTATTAATGCCGTTGCTTGGCAGTTTGGCTCTTAATTTCATTATATATATTTGAGCTGAGTTGAACATTAAAAGCATGTGAGCGAAAAGTGACGGGATTTCTGACTTATATGGTATAAAATAAATAAATTAAAATTAGTCTAACAAATATATTGGATTTAATGACGGCATAGAGTCATGCTCAAGTTGCTCTGTCGATTGTCCTGTAACACATGTCTACCGGCACTTAAAGAGGAGACACTGGAGCATCTGCTGTATTTCTGTCCAGATTTGTTCAGAAACAGTCTTAAGCTATTGAACGCTTTAACACAATCGGCGATATTTCCAACATTAATATTGATTAGATACTTGCATTGCCCTATGCACCAACAGCGGAAACGGACACTGAGAAATATATACTTGCATTCATCAATGCGTCTTTCTGGTTTCGATCAAAATTACGAAGAATGTGGAATCAAAATAGCTTTCTAGTTTATCGAGCAGGATTCATTCCTCCTACCACTTCACCTAACTAGTCTTTCTAATCTAACAAATTAAAGTATTTTTTAGACGGATTCGAATAGCAAAGAAAGGACAAAAACAAAAATTTTTTATTTTTATTTTTTTGAAATTTGGCTGATCATACAACGCTGTTTCGAGTATTGCCAAGTACTCTTCATCAGTGGTCTTTGGAAATAATCGAATTTTATTTAATTAGTTTATGGTCTTTTTGTCTTTGTCCTTTCTTTGCTATTCGAATCCGTCTAACTTTTAAATAGTTTCTTTCGTCATAAATCGACACGCCATTATCGGCAAGAAAAAATTAACCTTAAAGTATTTTTTATTTAATTATATTTCATTGATACATAAAAACATTTGGAAGTTACAAGTTCACTATAAAAACTATAATAACACTATAATACAACACTATGTTGTAGTAAATAAGGTTAAGAGTTAGAATGAAATTATTATATAAAAAGATCTCTAAAGTTATTATGGATAAATATCTTCAATTAAATGATTTTTATAAATTACTAACTTAAATCATATTAATATTTTTTAAGTTAAATTTAATTTACTTTTGCTCGATATATTAAACCGAGTACCGATATTTCCTAAATATTAAAAAAAAATTTAACTTTTAATTTTAATACAAAAAATGCTAGAAAATAAATATTTTATATTTGTTAAACCATTGTTTTTCCTAACTAATATTATTTTCAGATTAGTGAAATTTCACGAGAAAACATTTTGTATTATTTCACCAATCGGAAGTTATTAATACCTTAACTGCTTTGTACTAGTCCAATTGTTTGCTTCAATTTTGATTCGAAACCTCCATGACACATATTTTTAAGTCCATACGTTGCAGCCTATTTACAAGATTCAGCTACCTCTGACTTGTGGTTCTTCTTAAATGTAAAGATTATTAAAAAGATTAAGCTGTTTCTGTCTCTTGGCTCTTCTCACATCTTAAAAATTTTTCCAAATGAAACAAATTTCAAAAAATGTTTCAATAATCAGCCTATTCATAAAATTAAGCTCCTTCCAAATACTGGCTCTTCTTTCATCAAACGTTGCAACAATCCGCCTATTTATAACATGAAGTTCTCTCTTACTTCTGGCTCTTCTAACGTCTCATAAAGTTCTTTGGTGAAACGAAAAAGTAATAGCTGACGCGGAAGGGTATTTCCAGATCTTCTAAAAATCAATACAAATATCGGATTTATGAATTAAAGAATCGTTGGAAGAAGTTGAAAAATATTATACTGAATATTAGTCATTTTACAACTAAAAATTTTATTTCCTTTTTGCAAACCTTTTAAACAATCTAGTTGTATGGCTTTATTGTTTAACGCAAAGCAATATTAATTGTAGTCAAATATGAACATGTATCTTATTTTAGACTAATTTAGATGTTTAGTCGAAGATATCCCTATAATTAGTGTTTATTTAGGCGCATACGCCACACCAGATATTTCATTATCTCATTGTAAATAGTATTTGTTTAGGCGCATACACCACAACAAAACACCACGCCAAAATGAATATAAGAGACAGAAGTACATTAAATAAAGCAGTACTATCCATCCACTCATCGTGATTATTGCATTGATTTATTTTTCAATCAATCCATCTTAGAACTATCAATGTACCAACATAAGTTACCAGAATATAGATGAAATGTTATGATTACTTTGACCGATCCGAGAAGAATAATAATCTTAAATGTTTTTAAAATAAATAATAAATTTTTTTTCTAAACTATCTAATCAACTGCTAATGGGTTTTCAACTTATTTTAAATATTCTGCATTCTCCATAATACTTTCGTTTTAAGTAATGTGTATGCTGTATTTCAAAAGGATAATGAACAAATACCATAGAAGGATGTAAGTTATTAGATATTTGCTTAACTAATGCTAGTATAATTTATTTTGAAGCTTTTTGGATTGCATTCATCTACAAATATATTTATATATATATGTAGTATATATAAATTGTAGACGCAGTATGCCAAGTAAATAAACTTTATTGTGAGCTTAACCTACTTAAGTTCATGTTGTTTGCATATGTGACTCACTTCTATATTAACTCAAATATCCTTTTTGTTTACTTTCATTTGCTTTCATGCATACAAAATAAATGCCGGCAACTTACAATAAATAAAACAACAATAATAATTGACTTGGGTTTTCCGGAATATTACAACAATCCTGCAAAAACCAAACGAACAATTAGGACGAAATGTCGATACAATTAATTGTGCAAGAAGTACCCGAACAGCCAAAGAACCTACGCATCAACTCACAGCAATCCCGGAGTTTGCAGTTAACGTGGAGTCAACCATTCGCTGGCAACAGTCCAATTGAGGAGTATCACATTTTTTATAAACAAATCTCAGGTTTGTACCTCTAAACAGATGAACCAAAAATAAGGACTTCAATTTGCAATAAAATAAAATCATATAATCTAACAAGAACTGCATTGGATTAGTGTACACTTATAAAATAAATCAAATCAAAAATAATGTAGAGCAAAGCCACCACACCAATGCAGTGCCAGAGGCTATATACCTTTTCCATTTTTCAATTTCCTTTTAAAAATATTATTTTTCCTTCTTCTATAATATTGCATTTTACATTTTGTTTTATATTTCGATTTTCATTGCTTAATTGCTTAATTTACACGAAATTCCTGTAGACATTTGGCAAAACGCCGAGCACATCACCATCACCGGTGCACAAACAGTGGTCAACATACAAAATCTACGACCAGCCAAAGCCTATCACATTCGCATGTCAGCTGAGAATAAATTAGGCGCCTCCGAGTACTCTGAGGTGGTGCAAGTGACCACACTGGAGGAGGTGCCATCCGGCCCGCCGCTGAATGTGCGCGCCGAGGCAAAGAGTTCCACTGAGATATCAGTCACATGGGATGCACCCGAACGTGACCATTGGAACGGAATATTGCTTGGTTACTATGTGGGCTATCAGATGTCGTTATCGCCCGAGGACAAGGAAGTAAATCCCACTCAGGGCTTCAGCTTTAAAACGGTGGAAGTAAGGTCACATTTTGGCGGTGAAACAGTGCTGACAAATCTAAACAAATTCACGCAGTACCATGTAATCGTGCAGGCATACACCAGTCAGGGCAGCGGACCACCAAGTAAAGAGATTGCAGTGCAAACATTGGAGGATGGTAAGTATGGGTCAGCGAGGCTGACAAATAACCATTTAGTTAGTGAGTTGACAATGGAAAATCATGTAGGTGTGTATGTGTGTATGTGTCATGTGTAAATGCATTGATTGGATTTGTTAATTGCCCAACACATTCAAATTGCCTAAATTATAAAGACAAATACACTAAGACATGGGGATGTATTTGTGTGTGTTGGTATGTATGTGTGCGAGCGATACATCTTTGTTGCTCTGCAGTGAGAATTGATAATCTTTGGCATTACTCATTGTAAGAGACGACAGTATTAATAATATCACTTTTTAGTGCCATCCTCACCACCAGAAAGTCCGCAATGCGACGTTCTAGGTTCAACATCCATTTACATCACCTGGTCACCACCGGATGTGGACGGACAAAATGGCAAAATCAAAGGATACAAAGTATTTTACATATCAGTGGATGAATTGTATGGTAAGTGGAGTATGAGAGGCGTAAAACGAAACAAGCTCACAATTGAACAAAATAGCGGCTCATGTAGTTTTATGCAGAGGCAGATGTACACATGTCCTTACAGGCATCGGGCATCGGGCAACTACTATGGATGTCCATACATGTCCACATGTCCCTAGTAGATATGTCTGCATTTGCATTTGGTAGTTGTTTGCCAAATGAAATTGCGAATAAAGCAAACATTGATTACCGCCGTTGCAATGATTTAATGTTTACACTGTAAATTACGTCAGGAGATATAAGATTTGTTGGTAATTTACTGGCACCAATTATGCAGGCCATTAATTTTTAACACCTTTACAAACACTGCTGACTGATGATGAAAGATTAATTCGTCAGTGATGAAGAATAAAAGGAAATTGCAGCCAATTAAAACCATTTCAGAGCATTTGAGGAAAAATTTGATTTCGTCACATTGGTTGGTTGCATTCAAAATTAAAGCAAATAAAATGCAGTAAATTGAGAATCAAAATAGTTTTATCAGAGTTTGGTTTAGATGGAAGATAGTATTTATTTTACATTGAACAAATAGTGTCGAAACAGGGCGGGTAAGGTATTAATTTGTGGATGCTTTAACAAAAGTTCCTAGAAGGTACTGTTGCTCATTTTATACAAATAATTCTGATATTCCTAATATTGAGATAATACGAATATTCCAATTTTTTTCGAATAGTTCGAAATATTCATAGCAAAACGATTAGCGAATTATTCGAATGTTTCGAATTATTTAAATCATTCATTGATATTCGAATATTCGAACTATTTGAATTATTCGAAAAATTCGAACACAAACTACTACACTACTATTAAGTCTCTTTCATGTTAATAAGTATAAGTTTATTATAAACAAAGGAGACATCTAGAATAAAAGATGTCTTTCCAAAAAAAACTTTCAATTAAATTCACACCAAAAAATGTCGTTTTCATATTTGTACTCATATAGATTAAATCTATAACATGATGGTCAAAGTATTTTAAAATAATATGTATATATTTTTTGGATGAAATATTACTATTGCAGAAAAAATAAATTTCTTACAAAGTCACCAACCTCCATAATTACTCTTGCAAATTTAGTATAAAGTTGGACATTTGAAGAGGAAATGTCGAATCGTCCTCTCTTTTACCTCGACATGCAAAACTCCCATAAAAACCGTTTGATATAGTTTTGAATACAGCAGCGTGTTTGCCACTCAAACCATCGCCTAGTACCATAATATGGCAAGATCCTGCCTACTAAGCCAACTTAGATATTTTGTCTTTTAAACATCCACTTACAAACATTTCCCTTCTGGACAGTGCACTTCAGGATAGTTCACTTCTGGACAGTTCCCTTCTCAACTGTCCACTTCAGGGTAGTCGACTTCTAGACGGTCAACTTCATTCCATGGTAAACGGTTGACATCTGGACGGTCCACATCTAGACGATCCATTTCTATCCACTTCCGGTTCAGTAGTTCTTTCAATTTATTTTTGTCTTCTAAAAAAGATATTTCACAATTTCAAAATAAAGTAAATTGTAATCCATTGTCAAGTTTCTGTAATCAAAAGAGTTGATATTCATTAATGGTTTAATTAAAAATCTCATTCCAGTTTCTAAACTTCTTTCCACAAAACTGCATGGTACATTGTCTTATATAGTTTTTGCAAGTTAACCATTCGTTATTGATTGGTGAACTGTGTCTTTCAATCAGTCATTTTTACTTATTTACCTCTAATTTACATATTTATAATTCCTGTTTTAATAGAAACTGATCCTGAGGTTGTGAAATCTACAAATCAATACGTTACCATTGAAAACCTAAGAAAATACACCAACTATACGGTTTGGGTGTTAGCCTACACTAAAGTTGGTGATGGCATAAAAACTAAGCCACTCTACTGCCGCACACACGAAGATGGTAAATGTTTTGAGATCTTATCTAAAATCATGGAGTGGGTTTATATATTACTCTTATTATTACAGTTCCCTCCGCACCACAAGCAATAAAAGCCATACCAGCTTCTAATACAAAAATTATAATCTCTTGGCTTCCTCCAGAGCTTCCAAATGGCGACATTGTAAGTACCAATTTTGTTGATCACATTGGCATTAATAATATTGATAAACGAATGTATTCAATACAGACTGGTTACACATTCTACATGTCCATGTTAGAGGGCGGGCGTGAAGAAGGCACACATAAACGTGTGCTTGGTCCATTTGTGGAAATGCATGAGACACAACGCACACAAGAATCTGCCACATATCAATTTTGGTTAACTGCCTCAACAAAGATAGGTGAGGGTGAGAAGACACAAGTGGTAACAGTGCCACCAAACAACAAAGTACCAGCACGGATTGTGTCTTTCAGTCAGCGCATTATAACCCCGTGGAAAGAACATTTAGAACTGCCATGCCGAAAAGTCGGTTCACCAGCTCCAGTCACTATTTGGCGACAAGATGGTCACAATATGGAAACGAACTCACGGAAGTCCATTTCAAAGAACGGCACACTGAATATACGTGAGTGTCAGGCTTTGGATGCCGGTAACTACACATGCAGTGTAGAAAACACTTGGGGAAAGGATGAAATTGTTTATAGTATCGTGGTGAAAGTACCACCAGAGGCACCTAACTTAACTGTTGTCAACACGTATACAGATAGCTTACACTTAGAGTGGTTAGATAATAGTCACGGAGGTAGTCCTATACTAGGTTATGTTATTAACTATAAACGTGACAATGGTGACTGGGAGGAGCTGCAGGTGGATGCGAAAACAAATTCACATTTGCTTAGTAATCTGTGGTGTGGTACGCGATATCAACTCTACATAACTGCCTATAATAAAATAGGCACGGGTCTGCCCTGTGATATAGTTAACTCGTATACAAAAGGCAATCCGCCAGTGCAGCCAAAGCATTCGCAAATGATAACTCATAACTCAACAAGTGTCACTTGTTGGCTAGATTCGTGGGGCGATGGTGGTTGTGGAATTTTGTATTTTATGATTGAATCACGTGTCTATGGCAGGTGAGTCTTAATTGTTTTTAGTTTGAATAACATTTTTGCAATAATGGCGTTGTATAGATCGCAATGGAATGTTGTTTCGAATCATATACCTCCTACAGAACGCATATTCACGGTTAGTGACTTAGTTCCTGGTACAAAATATCAACTAAAAGTAACAGCGCACAATAATGCTGGTTCCACTACAGCTGTTTACAATTTTACTACTCTCTCACCACAAGGAGGTTAGTACTAATTAAATATGTATTACAATCTTTTTAAAACAAAATCGTGTATACAGTTATATACTCAACAGATCACGCAAATCCCGTGTCGCATATGAGCGACAGTCCTTTTTATGCAAACTTCAAGGTGCTATTACCAGTTTGCTTATCTATGTTTATGCTATTAGGCCTCATAGCAGCTGTTTTATTTATACGAAAAAGAAGTATGATATTAACTTTAATTTTAATATTATTGAAATGCATTATTAAATTACTAGAAATAAATCATCAAGCACGCCTCGCTTCATCTTCAATGTCTGAATCTCCCTCATTGGCCAACTTGCAGAACAAACAAAATCGTGACCAACAATATTTAGCGGTACGCTGCAATCCTAGCGCTGGTCCACCACGCGGTTCCAACTCCAACGATTCAGGCAGTTTCGGTAAAGCTGAGGGCAATGAATACATCGAAGATATCTGTCCATATGCAACTTTTCAACTAAACAAGCAAACCTACAGCGAGAGCTCATATAGCGGCAATGTCTACAGTGGACCTTATCACTCCGTGCGTGGTTCTTTTGTTTACCACGATGTAAAACCAGACAGTTATCATGTAAATATAACAATAAATTCTTTTCATTTATAATTTCCTTATATTCTTCAATCTTAAATTTTCTTCATTCTTAAATTTTTAAGACAAAAGAACCAGAATACACAAAGGTGAGACGAAAAGTTGGCCGGTTACGTGATCCTCACTCCGAGAGTCAAGGTAAGTTGAAGCTTTTTAGTAATTTCTAAGTAGTAAGATTTTTTGAAGTAAGCAAAATTTAGAGTGACTAAAATCATCATTTGAATCGCATGCTTCAAATCAGACATATCATAGACGTCACACCATCATGCTAATATCATATGAAATTGATCTTAAACCTTGAAATTATCACCCCCTCCCAACGTCACTCACTATTCATACAAATTCCTGCACTTTTCATTCGCCTCAAAAAAAAAAAATAAAATAAATCATTAAAATATTTGCTTTTTATTTTTATTTTTGTATATTATTAATTTTTTATTTAACTTTTTGTTTTTTAATATTAATTTCCTAAAAAATTACAACATTCATTCAATCTTCATCTCAACAACAACAACAAAATCCATCATATCGTACTAAACTTTTTAGAATCGGATAATCCAGGTTCAACAGATTCCGAAGTTAGGAAAATCCTAACGCTTCACATACCAATTACAGAATATGACACACTCGGTTCCGAATCCGACAATGATGTGTCTGCGCGCGCTCTCAACTCAGCCAAGTATCGAGCGCAACGTGGTGAGTTAGTTTCATTAAAAAAACGTAGAATGTAATGTAACGTATAAATATATTTTTTTATTAGATACACAGGATGAAACTTCTTCCTCATCGGAGACCACACCTACTAGTATGTCGCGGAAATCGAAACCTCCATTTGCAGCACGGAAAGCAGGAAAATCAGGCACCGGCGGTAAGCGACATGTGCGAAGTTCAAGTGGATATTCCAGCCACAACGAAGAAACCACATTTAGGTGAGTTTTTATATGTGAAAAAATTAAAAAAAACCATATTTACAGCACTGGGTTGTTCTTGCTCTAACAATTACTTGAATCAATATTAAATATATTAAACTTAAGAAAGAAAAATTAATTTCAAATATTTTATGTATATACCAAAGCATATCCAACTATCCACCAAACTACCAAGATCACATAAATCCACCAGCGCGTTTTTCAGATTCAAATGAGAAATCGAAAACCCAAACTTCACCACGAATACGTGCCAATCAGAAACTGCAGAGGGAAGCTTTTCAAATAAATGTTTAGAAAATAAAATAAAATACTAATAAGACATAAATAAAGATTAACAGAAAAATATTTGTAAAATATTTAAAATGAAATTTACAACAAAAAAAGAAATTCGTTAAATGTATGCAAACTATGAGAAATCAGAAAATTAAAAAAAAAAATAGTTTAATTGTAATATAATGTTAATCCACCCATTATAAGAGTTGAATACAAATTAAAAATTACAATATTAAATTTAAAAATAAAACAAAACATATTTTATAAGTAATAAAATATGCAGATATTTTAACAAAATCTCAGCGCGGATTCCACTTTACTACTAATGGGTCTGGGAACCCGAAAGTACTTTACAAAGTATATTACGAATTTTTTATATGTTGTTCTATCTTCTAGTTATATTTTCTTTTTATACTAATTTAAGCTGTTAAAATAATATATATTAAATATAAAATATTTATACTAAAATGATATGTTGACTTAAAAAATTTAATTTTTATTAGCGAATTTTTTATTAAAATATTAAAAATAAATTCAAATAAAGAAATTAATAAAAAATTGAAAATAAACCAAAAAGACTTATTTATACACTATTTAATATATATATATATATATTTAAATTATTGATAAGTAAGTTTGTTTATTAAATAGTTAATACCATAAACTTATACATAAATAAAAATAATCAATTAGCGTTTAGGTTATAAATAAATAAATATTTATTATTCTAAGTTCTAATAAAAGTATATTATTAAGTTATAATGAAACTTTAAGTTAAATAATAATTAAATGCCTTAGTTATAAGCTGTAATAACAATAAAAATAGTCTTCAGTTTTGTTGATGCTCGTATAAGAAAATATTTGTAAAATGTTTATATATCATTTCACTTGTATATTTATTTAATTACATTAACTAATATTAGATAGTTGTTCAGTAATTGCTATATATGTACATTATAAGCAAGTATGTACATCATATTGACATATGAATCATAAATTCATGTAAATACATTAAATATTGAAATACATGTAATTGGTATGTTATATGGAAAAAAAATAAATTGGTATTAAAATTTAAAATTAATTAAAAAAATATAAATTAATTAACAAATGATTAAACAACAAAGAAATCAGTATAAATTAGTAAATATATAAAATTGTTCAAAGAAAATAAAACACTAAAGTCGTAAACCAGCTAAAATGCATTTCATTAATTAAATAACAAAATCACAAATGCCCGTTATTATTAGAATATGTTCTTCACTCTCATTTTATATATTATTATTTACTTTTTTCTTTTTAATTTATTAATATTCTTTTTATTACAGTACGTTTATTCTATCTCAATCAGTGAATTTTCGCAATTAACTTGCTAATTGTGTAACAATTAGTCGTATTTTAGGGTCATAGTAGCACAATTTTTTACAAATTTTTTACAAATTTTTTACAATGTATCAACAGCTTTAATATAGTTAAAGTCGAGCTATATTCGAATTGAGATCTTTTAATTAGTGCTGTTCAGATCGTAGCTCTCGTTGCTCTAATTATTTATTTAACTCTACATTGGCTAGATTTTTACAAAATTTGAATATACAAATACAAAGAACAATAGATCATTCTTATTTAAATGCAATTAAGCATTATTTATTTATTTTATTTGCAAACTAAAATTTATGTGTTAATGAAAAAATAAGACTAAGATGCAACAGAAGCAAAAATTTTGCTTCCTCATTAAGCTAATCGCTAAATGATTTGCTGTAGTGTAAACAGTTATGCGATTATCACTAATTGAGTTCCACCCATTATAAAGTGTAAACATATGTTTTTTATGGGCAATACTGAAAACTCTTTTTTTTAATATCTTATCTACATCAAACATTGGCCAATGTCACTACAATTTTTAGCCTAACAATTGGATCGTAAGACAACGATATTGTGCTTTTATTAAAACATATTGACAGAAATTAATAATTTAAATACTAAATTGCTAGAATCTGTGATTTAAAATCACTATGCGACATTTATATGGCGCAGAATTCACTTCCCATAACGACACTACTTCTTTTTAAATGCTTGAATAAAGCACTTAAAAATAAAATACGTACTGGAATTTTTTTTTTGAAATATGCACTTTTCGTTTTTTTTTTTAGAAATGAGTAACAAATATTTCCATAAACTTATAAAACAATAATAAAATGAGTTCAAAGAGCTACATTAAGTAAAAATATATTTACACATACAAATAAAAAAATAAACCAAAATACACACGACAATATTCATAACAAATAATAAAAATTAAATAAAATAACTATTATTGCAAATTAATTATTTTTTCACAAATTGAGTAAACACACATACTTGCATAAATATATAAAAAATTCATATTCAATAGAAAAGAAAATATATATTTAAAAGAAATAAAACAACAAATTGCAACTGAAAGTGTCAAATAAATAATTTTACTATAAAAATAAATAGAATTCAAAATCCATATAAAAATCGTAAATCATAAAAATGTACGAAATTAATAAAAATAAAATTAAAATTAAAAAAAAACAAACTACCAAATGTAAACTATTCAAATAAAAAATTATACAGTATTTAAAAAAAAATTTATTGTTAAAAAAAATAATATACATATATATATATATAAATATATGCAACTGTTCAGACTGCACAAAAATTAAAAAAAAAACTAAATTCACAAGAATCTGAAAATTTTAATAAAGAAATTAAATACAGAAATTTTGGCAAAAACTTTAAAAAAATCACAAATTTTTGGTTGTAAAATATACAAAATTTAAAAATTATATTGTAAAAATTAAATTAAATTCAAAATTTCAATAACTTAACAAAATATCGAAATTAAAAATATATTATATAAAAAATAAAATAAATATGTGCGTGTGTATAATAAAAAATAAACTAAAAAATGCAAAAAATATTGAAATATTGAAACTGAACTACGAAAAAACAAAACAGTAAACAGATAATATGATAATATTATATATATATATATGAATAAATATATAAAACAGATGGAAATAAATATTAAAAATAATTAAAATTATCTTATGCCTTTTATTTCTATTGAAACTAGAAAAACCATTATTTCCACATAATTTCAAAAAATGACTTACTTATTTACTAATTGCGTGATATCTGGAAAGAACTTATATATAGGGCTTTCCATAATCTGTTTAAATCTCACTCTACAGTTGACTGTTTGTTTGATTTGGCCCTAGGTATATCCAGCTGTTTTCTTTTCTTTATTAATAGTCAATTACCAGTTAGTTTATCCAACCGTTATCATTCCTTTATCAATAGTTCTTGTCAATTCAAGGCAGATGTCGACTACCTTGCCGTACCTATCGGAGAAAAAATCTATTTATATCGCTATGTGGCTGCCAGTACGTATGATCGCCTCATTGCCTTTCTTTGGTTTCAATTATTGTACGTTTTTGTCTAGTTCTGACTGAAGTTTTTGTTTAATTCCTGCGGGTTTTTTCAACTCTTACATGGATATCAAAACAGAGATCTATAATTCCTAATCATTCAAAGTTACATTATTTGTTATTGTCGATACCATATCAGTCTTTGAGAAAACTTTATTATAACATTTTATTGACAATCAATGAAATTCTTATCGCCAATCAATTGTTATTATAAACAATTCCCATTCGCCATTCACACTACCATCACCCATCACCCACATGCTAAATTTCTTTGTAATTTCTTTCATATTATTTGTTTGATGTTTTCCGTACAATATAACTTCAAAAACCCTAATCCAAATATCGAGATTTAACAAAAACCGGCTATATCAAAATACTATTTAAACGTAATAGGCTTCTACGATTCTAGAAATTGTTTCACTGTTGAAAATTCTGACAATAATTACCATTAACCACATCGTGTAATAGTAGTTAATAATATTATAATTATTTAATAATCGCAATTTTATTGTATCAACAAATATAAAAATTAAAATATAACATTGATTTCTTAAAATTAGGTAAATACAATATATCATATGAATTTATCTTTATAAATAATATCAATATTTGTGTTGTACAGAATTAAATAATAATAGTAAAAATTTCAAAGTTTTTCTTTTGTTTTTAATTAAAATATTGCATTTGTGTACAGAAAGTTAGATAAAAAGCATAAGAGTAAATAAGTGATAGATTAACGAAAATCGGGTTATATTTAAATCTATTACTACATTATATTTCACAACAAAAAATAACATTATACAAATATCTGTTATCATATTTCAGAGCTATTTTTTTTAGATCATAAATAAACATTTATACAAATTTTTTTTCTCATTTATTATTTAAAATTGTTTTTTTTATTTTTTTAATAATAATTCAATAATTCAAAATAAATGCAATACAAAATATTTTGTCAATTTTTTTTTGTTTTTTTAATTTAATGTTACATTCAGTTTTAATGAATAAAAACTTATGCTTCTGTTAATGTGAAATTTTAAAGTTACTTATTATATTTAAAAACATACAATTCTAAATATTTATGCAGCAAAAAAGAAATTCAATTTTGTTTATAATTTATTTAGATTAATTATTTTTCAAGGTTGACAAGTTTTTTCAGAGTTACTTAGGTCAAAAATATTCAGGAAAATACTTAGTAACTATGTACTTGGAACTTTTGTAAGTAAAATTTGTAAAATTGAAATAAAACAAATAAAAATTATTTTTTTAAACAAATACACTTCTTAAAAAGATATATCATGTAATGATGGAAAGAAAAGAATACAGAATACCAACTCATTACGCAAAATTATTACTCAAATTAATATTATTGCCCTGGTTTGATTTAAGTATATATACTAAATATTAATTTACATACTAAAAAATTTTTAACACGCAAGAGCTTAACAAATGACATACATGAAGCCAAACTATTGTGAATACAAGAAATCATAAACGAGACTACATTATTTCTACATCTAAAGAGTTATATGTATTATCAGACTACTGAAGATAAAAAGGAAATATATAAGCTAATAATATATTTTCTAGTTAATGCAATTGATTAAATAAGTTAGTTAAAGTGACAAATATGTTTTACTTTATTTTATTCTGAATAAAATTTTAAATAAATTTTTTAAATAAAATTTAACGTGTGCAGAAGAGTGTTGACTGATTACAACTCACTAAGTTAAGAGAACTGATTTGTTTGACTTTTCTTTTAATTCCAAATATAATGTTTAACACATTTTTTGTAATGAATATTTATCATATTCAGAATAGTTGACCCTATTTCGACTAAATAGATATAATCAAATGAATGACATCTTTAGAACTTGGCACTCTTAAGTTCATAAAATAACAATAAAAATGCTATAGAATAGGAGTTTGATTGTCCTGTGCTTTAATATTTGAACGAACAGCGATTTGTAATTAATAAAAAAAATCTTAAAATTTGTTACAATTTTTGAAAGACCATTAGAAACCCTGAATATTTTAATATATAAGATATGTATAAAGCCACAAAATTAACTTCCGAAAAATAGGCACTTAATATAATTGAATGCAAAACATACAGTAAAAACATAATATTATAGTTTTTTTAAATCTTAAACTTAAATATAATTTGCTTAAAGCGATAAATTTGTATTTATTTGTATTTTAGATTAGCTTTGTAATAATAAAAAGTATATAAAATATTTTATAAAATATACTTAATAGTGTAAACAAGTATTTAAACCACTTAAAGCTTCAACTATACTTATTCAAAAAATATTTATTATTTATTTTTTTCTCTTATATGCTTAAGTTATGCAATTAAAAATAGAAAATTTAGTTTCACTTATGCTAACTGTGCATTTCTTTATATAAAAATACATGATTTAGTTTATATTGTATATATCATACAGAAAATATATAACACATCCGCAAATAGTTTGAAGAGAATTTATAAAATTAAAATCGTAACAACAATGGCAAATATCAGAACATGATTGGCTTCTCCTTGCACTGATCTATCACATAACCAGTGAAGCGTTTAAGGAACTTAGGGTATTCTCGTTTATAAACAGCGCGTAATGCGGTAGCAGGAGCCCAACCGCCAGGATTGACTAAAACATAGAATTATGGAATTTAATTATAAAAAAAATTATTATTATTTTTATGATTATACTACATACCCACGGAACAGTATGTTATCTTGCAGGTCAGTTCATCACGTTTCAGTTCATCAGTTTTCGTTTTACTGGGTGGTAAATATGTCTGGCAAGCGAGTATTACTGTTAAGAATATACGTACACATTTACCGTTTTTAGACTGAAATTACAAAAAACAATTTATTTTTAATTTTTTAGAATTGTAATTAATATAATTTATTATGAGTGTAACCAATGCGGGACCTATGAGTCCGTAGTTGTTCTACTTGGCTAACTGCCGTAAGGATTATAACCCCCGTGTTGTTAATACACGTATCAAATAATGCTCCGGCAAATGCCGCATTGAAGTTCGGTGGTACAAATTGAAATTATATGAATATAACATAGCTTCCTCCTTGTTTAGTAGTGTGGTCTACATATGCTGTTTTATGGGTCACAGTACCCGATTAAAAAATGCAATTTTACTATATATTGAGTGAAAGCATAAATACTTATACTTTTCCTATGCAAAACGGAAAAGTGCACAGCAGACTTGGTGTTTACAACTAAGTTGGCGCAGCTGGATCTCATAGTACCAGATTTTGCCTCTGGTGGCGCGTCAGATTTGAAAACCTAACTATACAAAACAATACGGGACGATCTGTAGTCGTCTTTTACAACAAACATGTCTTCTTAGGGAATACTTATAATCTATTTAACGGAGAGAACGGAGGCATACAGAAGTGAAACTTTGTCCAAAGTAATATTTTATTATAAAAAGAGGCCTCATAAGGTAAATTGTGCCATAAACACCTTCCCCATTCCGCTTTCTGGCTACACCCTTGCAATTAGTATGCAATAACAATTACCTCTTGTTTTGAATAATTTGTAGAATTGTTGCACACAATCCATGTATCAGTCGCACCTTCATCTAGGCCATCCTGTATTTTACGCATATGTGACCAGAAGAGTGCATCTCGTTGACTAGCAGGCCAAATGCGTTTGTGCGTTTGCAAAAACACTAAAGTATCAGGAGATATTTTCTCCAGTATCGTACAATCTTCCAAAGTGGCTATAAAAATAAAAATTAAAAGAAATTCATGTCACAAAATGATGAAGTAAATATTATACCAGTCAGTTACATTGTTTTCTATTTTAACTTGATATTTTGCTATGCATAATTATGTATAATATTGCGCTTAAAATTATATTTACATTAGTTTAAATATAAAATAATTTATTATAAAATTATTTAATTTATTTAAATTAATAAAAATTTATACTTACTTTCCCAATCGTTGCGAAATTCTGGCATGAAAAAGTAATGACACATTTCGCGCGCGGTAACTCCTTTTACCGAGTGATATGCCTTTAAGGGATCCATCACCATGCCATTTACTTCCTCCTCACGTTTGTACATTTTTATCTCACCTTCATCGGCAAATATTTGCCAACCGTTGCCACCCTGCCCCACACCTTCTCGAGCGTAGTGTAGTTGTTCTTTGCAGACACGGTCGATCTAATAAGCAAAATAAACAACATTTTTATTGGCAAAAAGCAATTAATCGCAGAAATATTGCAATTTCCTTTGAACTCTATTCCATTTGTTTCATATTTTTTTTTTTTGTTTTTTTTTTCTATTTCACTTACTTCCGGCCACAAAGTGTGACATTTCGCCAATGCTCCAGTGCCAAACTCCTCTACGCCTTCTTCACCCTCTGACTGCGCTTGATGAGGCACATTGACCAGAGTTTGCGATTGTTGAGATTGCAATTTTAATTTAACGCGCAATTGCATATCCTCTTCGATTTTGTCCAAGCCCGTTTCAACTGCATCGAAAAATTCATCCTCAGGCAAAGTTGAGTGTGGACCCTCCTACAAAAATCACAAAAGTCAAATCGTTAAGCACATATAAAACAACATTTTTATGATTTTATCTTTAAGTTTTTAATTACTAAAAACTAAAAATAATTTTATATTTAAGTGCATCGAAATTGCATGCAACACGTAACTTACATGTCAGTCATATGCAATTAATAACTATGTTATGTCAATAATTATTCCTACTATGTATAAAAATCAGGGTGATTTTTTAAATCTAATTTATAATTAAATTATATATGTCAACCTAGCTTTAGATAGTATACGGATAACACGATATCTAAAAGTATCAATATGTACTCATATGAGCTCCTTGTAAAAGTACTTCATATTTATAGCCTGTTCACACGGCAACAGTAATCTTACTTTGGTGTTAGAGAAAAGTACCGTATGCAATAGTGCAAATTATCAAAAGCAGAGGTTTTCTTTATTTTCTTTCGCTTATTATAAGTATGTTAGGTTAGTAGAAAACTGTGACTTCTTCATACGCCGCAGAAGTGTTCTGGATCTATAAACAAAGACCCTACTTGGTCGACTGCACTCCATCATCAGTTTTAATGTTACTTGAAGAGTTTTTAATGCCTTGATAACTGTCTGACTGTCTATCTAGGTGATTATTATTTGATTTTGGCATTTATGTTTAAGATTAATCTAAACACACCTATCAATTGTGTATATTTCCGCTGTAAAGAGTATGTTATCCGTAACACCCCGATAACTCTCGCTCCAACTCCCTGGTCTGTATGTGAACCATCATGCCAGAATATAATATGCTGGTTTATATTGTAAGAGCTTAGATATACTTCAAATCATTTTATACAATCAAACTTTATATGCTGAAGTCATATAAGGACCTATTTCAAAAATTGTTTTGCAAAAATGTTGGCTTCTTACGATTTAAACAATTACACAAGACGACATAATCGCTTGATATTGAGCATTCGTAGTATGCAGAGGTGTAAGTTCTAAATGAACTCTCATGGATACTGTCGGACTTGTTTGCTTTGCTCTTATTATGCATACACTCGCTAGTCTTTTTAACAATTTTGTGTTTATCTATTCAAAATTCCCGGTCACTTCAAAACATGTTTCGAACTTTCTTCAACAAAATTTTTTAATATTTAGGGTATCAAGAAGTATATAAGGAAATAAGATATTTGCTAACGTGCCATTGACAAGGTGTACAAGAATATAGAGCCCGAAGATAACATTCGGAATGCAACCATCACGTTTTCCTATATATAATAAATCGTAATTCACGCTTAACAACAATTTCTCGTTGGGACATAAACTTCTAATTGGGATCCAAAAACACGAGTTTTGTAACAAGAATTGTTGGCCTGACGTATACTAGATATTTAATACATAATCATTTAATAAACAAGTGAAAATGATTGAAAGTTCGATATCTGGCAATGCCACTAAACCCGAAAGTATAACATTAAAATATAAAGGTGATGGAACGTCTGTGTCTCCTAAGGATAGACAATATGGAGGAGATACAATATTTCAAAATAATGATTGCCCCTTAACAAGTGAACAATTCTTAAGAGCAAGACAGAAATTTGTTCTTCTTGAAAATGCAAATAGTACAAACGATAGGAATGCCTCAGCAGGAAAAGATGTTAATAAAAACAAAAACAGTTCCAAACCAGTTGAAGCAAATAGAAATCTTCCGAAGGAGTTTGCAGAGACAAGTTACTCAACCATTGACACTGAACATGAAATCAACTTGAGATTGACTATTTATATCCCAAAAAAATGTTAAACTCCAATATAGTGCAAGAATGTAGCAGTAAAATGTTTCAAAAAAGCACTTTTTCAATTTGAAATGTTTGCCATGAGGTTTCTCCGTACCACGTAAATCATTTCATACATAATATAATTAAAATTATAACTCATACTATAAATAAAATGCTTATTACCAAATAAATAATATAAATATTGTTAATAGAAATTTGTACATTATAAATCTTAGGTTTACTAAAGTTCTGTAATTATAATTTATAACGCAAACGGTTAACTACCTTCATGTCCTTACAATCTCTTCACTCTAGTAAATTTGTATACAAAACAAATCCTTGCGGATTAACGTCCAGAAGAATTAAAACTTAATTAAGTGCTCATGTGAATAGCAACGCTACTGGTTCATTAAATATTGTCGTCTGTCTATGCTTCCTTCTGGCAAAGCAAAAACGTGACCAAAATAATTCAATTAAAAAGGTAATGGTCATGTTACCTAAGCGAGTTACGTCGGTCACATTAGTGGTGATGATGCTTCATCATTGCGCGCACATTTCGTCTACGGCAACAAAATTTTAATTGTGCTGGTATTTCTTTTTCGTCGTTTGTTTTTTGCTTATCACATAAAATGAATAATAAAACTTAATTATTCATTTAGTGGATTTAAAGCAAACATCTTTTTTGAGTTGTGAAATTTTTGGAAAAGATAACGAATCTATATCTCTAATATATTCAATAAAAGTTTAATAGTTTATGTCTTTTAATAAAACATTAATCGAATAATTTTTGTGTTTAATATGCAAAGTGTAATTCATGTGTCAAATCTCTTAATTGAATTATCAAAATTAAAAGGCAGTTGCTTTACAGTTTTATAGGCAAGGCAAACACTTTAAATAAATGTCAATCATAGGAACGTTAATTAAAACGTAATCACATGACACGTGAAATAAGTATTGATAACAAAGTAATAATTCAAAAAGTAAGGTGTAACTTATTATTCAATAGAGGGACGTATCGTTCAAACGTCCTTGAGAAAACGTATTTAAATTGTTTTTCTTTCGAAATTTTTCCGGGACGTAGACATAACCGCAGTTTGAACCAATACAAATACAACGCCTACTGGATTGTTAAGAAATCCGGTGGACTATATACAATTTGCATAAACGACGTTGTAATTTTATTATCTCTCGTAAATTTTAAACCGAGCGATAACTTCACAAATTCCTCTCTAAAAACTCTAAACGGGAGGCGAGAGAATAGAATAGAAATAAACAGGTTACCAACTTCCATCGGAGCGGAGCACTACGACCATGGTTGATCTTTTTTGCTACAATAGACACTAACCGAACAGGAGACATTCCGCATTCCGAATTAAAGCCAGAAAGTAATGTGAGAAGGGAAGAGCAGCTCTCGACCCAATGACTGGGCAGTCACAGAGACTGTGACTGGGATGTGACCCATTTCCTTAAGATGATAACGCCGTCAATCGTGACCGGTTAAATAACCCATTAGCAACCTCAACTCTGTTTTGCTGAAGAAGGATACCTTACCATAAGAATAAAGCATGTATATATTATAATCTGATTGAATATAAGACTGGACATTATTTAACTACTACCACAGCCGCTATTTAACAAGAAATGTGGAAATCAATAAATTTAAATATAGTATAGTAAACGATATAAGCTTTTTTTTGCTATTATTCTAGTTAGGTGAATGAATGGTGAAATTTAATATAAGGCATAATAAGATAATGAAAACAACACAGAATGTGGAAAAGTATTTAATTTAAAGTTTGAAAAGAATTAAATTAAAAATGAATTGGATCCAAGTTTAGGTTTGGGAAATGACAATAAAAAACAGAAGAATCCAGGCAATCCAGCGTTAATAAATTAAAAAATGTATTCTTATTAAGAAAACCTTTACTACCTTTACTTTGTGCAATGGTCTATATATATCATGGTTTTTACTCCCTTAGGATTCGCAGTTTAGTCAGTATAAATCTTTAACAGGATCGGTAAATATACACTTTATCGTCGTAGTCCTTTTCGTTAAAATGTTCTAATATTGAACAACACTCCTTACTGTTTTCATAAACAAAAAAAATATTTATTTTAAGGTAAACTTAGGAGAGGTATTTGTGGTAATCGGTAAAGTTCACCAACTTATTTATATGTGTATTCTATATATCCACTGTGATATCACTACTTCACATGCGAGCTTAAAATCTGTTAGTCATTCACTCATAGAGCATTTTATATTCCTAATAAATATTAGGATGGGTTTAATCTTAGTATCTAATCCACTTCTCTAAGAGGAATAAAATCGTAATTACTTGAGAAGCTTATTCTGTTTCTAGCTAAAGCTGAGCAGCTACACTAAAACGTTTCAGTGTTTCTCCTTTTTCCTTGTTGAACATTTAAAGTTAAGTAACTTCAGGACTCTGAAAAATCCTTTTAATTCATTTTTATCATGTTTTGTCTATATTTCTAATTGAGCATAATATATCCAAATAAATCTTCAATAAAACGCTGTAATATGATTGAAATATTCGATTCTTATTCATTGCAAAGAATAGTTTGTATTATATTTTCATTTATAACTAAAGAACAAGTATAATTTATAAGGATTTTAAAGTAGAAACTATACAAGTTAGTAACTGAATAATAGATAGGCAACATACATATTTTAATTTTAATTGACCAATGCTGAAAGAATTGTTAAAATAATATTAACCGAGACATGTATTCTAAAAGTATTATTAACTCCAATCCGTTTTGGTTTCATATCAATTACTGCAATATTTTGTTTTTTACAAGTCATCTGTTATATTTGTTATTTACTTTTCAGTTCAAAGATGTCCTTTCAAGTATATACCTCACCTTACATTAATTTCATTTACTACAATTAACTAAAAAAAATTTATTAAAAAATGAGTAGTACGTCCTTTGAGATTTTAAAATCCCAAATTAAAAAGAAACTCCTTCTACCGCAATTATTTTGTGCAAAATATATTAGAAAAGCAAAGTCTTGAGATAGATGATTTTGTCAAGGAGGAGGAGAGTGGGGGCGATAAATTTAATTTGTGATATATCCTTTTCTTTAATTTTATATAGAAAGATAAAATTATTCCTACCACTTTAAGTTTTATGGTAGATTGAAAAATTATTTTTCACAAATACACACACAATGATACACACAAAAAAACAAATGGCGCCAAACATTAATGTAGTCACAAAATTATATAATAT